TGTTTTAACCAGCGTTTCAGGATCATGAGGACATTTTCAGTCATGTCTTGGTGAAGCAACAATGAAAAACGTGTTTCTTGATTATGTAAATAAAAACATTTAAGAGCATATTTTAGCCAAGAAAGCTCATTAGCAAATTCTAGTTTAAGGCTTCTATAGGAGAACAACAAGCAGACATGTTTCAAACTTTAATTAAAGTGCTCTGATCCTGGATCTGGGAAGGTTCTGGAGTGGCTGGTCTGAGGAGCTGGAGAGTGATGATGGAGAAGCAAGACAGAACATCTTCAGAAGCTCCTGTAAGACAAGTATAACAGTCGTTAAAAAAAAAAAAAAAAAACAATAGTGTGGCCAGGTGGATAAACGAGGACTCGGACGGGATTCGATCCCCAGACTACCGGGTGAGAGTCATACGCTCTAACCAGTCAGCCAAAGGAACACTTCCTTGGCTAAGTAGCCAGGGCACATCATCAATCGGGATGTTGCGACAGCACACACACACACACACACACACACACACACACACACACACACACACACACACACACACACACACACACACACACACACACACACACACACACACACACACTGTCACAATAGTAAATACTGAAAGTGGATGAACTTAAGAAGAATGGAGTTTTGGACAGAAAGAGCACTGATGTTTCAGCTGGACTCACGAGCCACGAGGACAGACTGATACGGCAGCCACACTTTTAAGTAATCATCAGGTCTGACTGAAACAGCGTTTCTGCCTTTTACAGGTGGACAGAAAAAATAATAATGTTGACACATTGTTGATAATATTACTACATTTCAAGGCTTTTTCAATACAGTGAAATTAGTTGAAACAGAGCCGAGTTGTATTAGAAAACAGCAATCACAGCCCGACAGCCCGGCGAATCTGGGATGAATTAGTGCTGCCTCAACCTCCTCGTCTTTCATTGGGTCACTGGAGTTTAAATTAAGTGGATGCGAAACCCATGGGGAGGGCTCTGCATAAATGAGAGTAAAGTTGAATTTTAAACGCGTTAAAACTGTCACAAAGTGGCGTTAAAAGCGGCGTTTTATGTCACAGGACGGCGAAAAAAGCGGCGTTCAATGTCCGTACCAAACGCCGTATTTTACGCCACCCACACAGAGAACGCGTCTAGGATTAGGGTGACGTAAAAAACGGCGTTCAATGTCCGGAAAAAACGGCGTATTTTACGGGCGTTCTACGAGACCGTTCAGAACGGCGTAAATTACGGCGTTCTGGCAGAGTTTTCGCCGTATTTTACGACGTCTTGGCACATCAAACGGCGTTTTTTTCGCCATTTCTTAACTAGACGGGTTGGGAAAGTGGCGTATTGTGACGGTTTTGGCTTGCCATAACATGCTGCTCCTGAGACGCGGCCGACTCGCGCTGCTGACGGCTGCCGACGGCTCCAGTGCAAAAGGTTCTGTTGACCACAGCCGTTCCTATCAGCAGCTATGACGTGCTGCTGCAGTAACGTGCTGCTGACGGCTGCTGTGGAAAGCCGGGGTCAGAACCCCAAGAACCACATGTATGTAGGACTACTAACCACTTAGTAGCATCTAAAATGCATCTTTCTCTGATGCCTTTTTACAAATCACACTTGCATTTACAGAGATTTGAAAATGACAATGCTTTTTTCAAAAAGCAAAATAATATTTATTGTAAATGAAGTTTAGCTGATCTTGGAATCAGTTCTAGCCTAATGTCGATGGTTCTAGCTCAAAGGTCAGTAGGCGGGGGTCTTAGTGACATTTCATCAACCTTGTAGGGTCATTTTAGCTCATACCGACTCAGGAAAATTATTTAAAAATATGAAAAAGTTGCATAGTATGACTTTAATAGGAAAGATGAGAGAATTCATGCCCTCCAGTAGTGAAAAGCTGGAATTACATTGGATAAAACATTTAAATGAGAATATTTTAGCCTCCTTTTCTCAACGAAGTTTGTGTGTGTGTGTGTGTGTGTGGGGGGGGGGGGGGGGGGGGGGAGGGGGGGAGGATCTTTGCTTTTGTACTCTTGAGGATATTAATATGATGGGGAGAAGAAAGTATTTGCACATTTACAGTTGTTACTTAGGAGAAACACTGTTTCCTGTACATTCTTTCAACATAAAATGCTATGGCATTTTTGATAGCAGCAGGGGAGCTTTCTCTCTCTTTATTAAGCTAGAAACACAATAAAAACCTTATTGATATAACAGTATTAAATGGAACACAGCATTTGTTACAGAGCATTCACCACCCTCAACAAAATGTCAAAATCCAGTTGTGCAGAAATGGAACCACTTTAGTGAGACTGTCTTTAACCCTAAAAGTATTAATTTTAAAATATATTTTCTGGTAACATTTGGCCAACTGTATGCTACAATGTTATTTAAAATACATGACATTAAAATAACAAAATACCATACCAACATTCCACACCACCTTTATTTATATAGCACTTTAAAAACACAGCCATACGGCTGACCAAAGTGCTGAACAGTCGCACAATAACAGAGATAGAAAACATAAAACAGTACTATGAAACACAATCAACAATAAAAAAGACAAGCCGATAAAAAAGTACCAATAAAAACCTTACAATGGATGATAAAATAAGAGTAGTAAAAACCAAACTAACAGCTAACTATTAAAAGCAAGGGTAAAATAGTGTGTCTTTAGTCTAGACTTAAAATCTGCCAAGGTGGATGCCAGTCGAACTGACTGGAAGTTCGTTCCACAGTTTAGGACCCGTGACAGAGAAAGCTCTTTGTCCGCATGATTTGTAACACACTTTTGGGACCTCGAGGAGCAACAGGCTGGAGGACCTGAGTGTGTGACCAGGAGTATAAATTGAAAGAAGATCAGATAAGTACACAGTCAAAAAACAGCTTCACCCTCTAAGAAACAAAAAAGGAAAATGTGGCAGACTGCGGAATTGATTTCCAGCCAATATTAAGGCAGCTCAGACTGTGAGTAATTTAAAAACTTTATTAAAGACACATTTTTATGAGCTGGCTTTTAATTAAAAGCAGACAATGCATTTTCCACCTAATCTTGGTTCTTTAAGTTATTTAAGATAATAAAGAATGACCTATTTCTAGGAGCTGAATATTATCTAAGGACTAATCATTTTATCTTACTTTATTTTTATATTTTTATTTCTTATAATTGGAGGCATTTTGGTAAACAATGATTGTTGTAAATGTGCTATAAATACAGGTGCTGGCCAGTAAATTAGAATATCATCAAAAGGTTGAAAATATTTCAGTAATTCCATTCAAAACGTGAAACTTGTACATTATATTCATGCAATGCACACAGACCAATGTATTTCCGATGTTTATTACGTTTAATTTTGATATTTATAGGTGACAACCAATGAAAACATCAAATCTGGTATCTCAGACAATTAGAATATTCTAAAGGCCAATGAAAAAATGTTTGTTTCTCTAATGTTGGCCAACTGAAAAGAATGAACATGAAAAGAATGTGCATGTATAGCACTCAATACTTAGTCGGGGCTCCTTTTGCCTCAATAACTGCAGTAATGCGGCGTGGCATGGACTCGATCAGTCTGTGGCACTGCTCAGGTGTTATGAGAGCCCAGGTTGCTCTGATAGTCGTCTTCAGCTCCTCTGCATTGTTGGGTCTAGCGTATTGCATCCTCCGCTTCACAATACCCCATAGATTTTCTATGGGGTTAAGGTCAGGCGAGTTTGCTGGCCAATCAAGGACAGGGATACCATGGTCCTTGAACCAGGTGCTGGTGGTTTTGGCACTGTGTGCAGGTGCCAAGTCCTGTTGAAAGGTGAAGTCTGCATCCCCATAAAGTTGGTCAGCAGCAGGAAGCATGAAGTGCTCTAAAACTTCCTGGTAGACGGCTGCATTGACCCTGGACCTCAGGAAACAGAGTGGGCCAACACCGGCAGATGACATGGCACCCCACACCATCACTGACGGTGGAAACTTTACACTGGACCTCATGCAACGTGGATTCTGTGCTTCTCCGCTCTTCCTCCAGACTCTGGGTCCTTGATTTCCAAAGGAAATGCAGAACTTGCTTTCATCAGAAAACATAACTTTGGACCACTCAGCATCAGTCCAGTCCTTTTTGTCCTTGGCCCAGGCGAGACGCTTCTTGCGCTGTTTCTTGTTCAAGAGTGGCTTGACACACGGAATGCGACACCTGAATCCCATGTCTTTCATGAGTCTCCTCGTGGTGGTTCTTGAAGCGCTGACTCCAGCTGCAGTCCACTCTTTGTGGATCTCCCCCACATTTTTGAATGGGTTTGTCGTCACAATTCTCTGCAGGGTGCGGTTATCCCTAGAGCTTGTACACTTTTTTCTACCACATTTTTTCCGTCCCTTCGCCTGTCTGTTAATGTGCTTGGACACAGAGCTCTGCGAACAGCCAGCTTCTTTAGCAATCACCTTTTGTGTCTTGCCCTCCTTGTGCAAGGTGTCAATGATTGTCTTTTGGACAGCTGTTAAGTCAGAAGTCTTCCCCATGATTGTGGTGCCTTCAAAACAAGACTGAGGGACCTTTTAAAGGCCTTTGCAGGTGTTTTGAGTAAATCAGCTGATTAGAGTGGCAGCAGGTGTCTTCTATATTCAGCCTTTTCAGAATATTCTAATTTTTTGAGATACCAAATTTGGAGTTTTCATTAGTTGTCACTTATGAATATCAAATTTAAATGTAATGAACATTGGAAATACATTGGTCTGTGTGCATTGCATGAATATAATGTACAAGTTTCACGTTTTGAATGGAATTACTGAAATATTTTCAACCTTTTGATGATATTCTAATTTACTGGCCAGCACCTGTATAAAATTGACCTCAAAGGTTAAAGAAAATCTCAGACAGAGAATTTATTTTTTTCCTTTGCAAAGGCTGGCAGCCCTACTGACAGAGCTTATTTCGTTTTTGTGAGTAAAGTATACTGATTTCTGTTTTGTTTACGCGAGGTGTGGTTTAGTACCGCGGGGCCACCGTACTCCAGGCCTGTAGGGGGCGGTATTCCAACCGTCGGTCGCCGCCTCCTTTGAACCTCTTTTACTAAACTCGAAAGAAGTCGGAGTCACGGAAAGAAACAGGAAGAAGACGACGAACTCGGCAACACAATGACTTCGGGTAGGAGACTAGGCAAGGTAATGCAATCCTATAACAATTAATCCGTTAATCTCGTGAACACATCGTGTAAAAAGTTGTTTGAGCTTCGTGTGTAAAGCTACAAACCCGCTGGGAAGAAGAGAACGGCCGAGTATGTGTCGCTTAGGCGTCAGACAAAATGAAAGGAGAATGACGTTCGACCGACGGGGACTAAAAAGCAATTAGAGACGGCAGAAATACATAAATGCTGGGATTCAGCACTTTGGGGAGCTGCGGGACAACATATAGGTGCTAAAACTGTGAGCTGGGTTCAGTCGGCGAGTTGTTGAAGCCGTTTTCACCGTGTCAAAGACACACAGCCGTGGAGAAAACATGGAGACCGGGGCTGCGCCGTCACGTCACATCTCAGCTGAGCCGTCAGATTTAGTCTGACGGACCAGTCCTATCATGAGTAAACACATGTCCTCTGGATACGAGGCGAAATCTTCAGTCGCATTAGCGCGTTTTCTTTATAATTCATTAAATCAGTAGTTGTATAAATAGACCGGATGTCATGAAAGTAAATTAAAACTGTTTGATTTTATTCCATCTAGACCTGAAAGTCAGAATAACCAACTACATTTTACATCCATTGCTTTTATATCTAAAGCTATGATTCTTTTAAACGGTAGGTAGAAACAGGGAGGTGGTTTTTAAAGTACTTTGATCGTATGAACACGAAAATGAAACTTAAATCACTAGAATGCTTGTGCTTATTATGTTTGAAATTTGTGCCAAAAATGACATTAACTTCCATTAAATTATATTATTTATTAACTGTGTGATTAAAAACACGTTGCAATCTGTGTATTTTAATATATGAGAAGGTTAGCATGGTAAAACAATCATAAAAGATTCTCCAAAGCTTGTAGAACTTGTTTGAAACACATTAGTTTGTTAATCTACTTGTTGAAGCAGTACTGCAGTTCTTACAATCTCTTCAAGTTCTTTGTTTGACAAAATTTGTGTGATCAACAAGATTGTTTTTAGTTTCAGTTTCATCCCAGCTAAAGCCAGGTACAAGATCATTCAGTGAATAAAGCTGCCTTTGCATCTGAGAAAATTAAGAGTGATTAAAATAGAAAACACAATTTTAATAATGTCCCATGATAATAAAATTATTGCTGGTTTTCATTTTCTGTAACTCAATGCATGTATTTTAAGATGAACATCAAGTACTGAATAATATATGTTTTTCCTATTTAAAACAGGTAAATATTAACATTTTAGAAGAACCTGAGTGCTGAGTTTCTATAGTGTAAGGGCTGTCAGGTCTCCTGGTTTCACAGTTTTACTTTAATCCCTCCATATTTGGCACTGATTTATCGTGTGTCTGATTTTACAAAGATTACCGTTCAGGAAATACCCCTAGCTGTTGTTGTCATCAGCACTTCCAGAATTCCCCCAACTATCCAGTTTTATGGTTAGTGTAAATGTCAGGTCGCAGGTAAATGGCTGAATGTAATGATCTACCAGGCTGTTGCTTTGATGGGAAGGAAATTGTTTTATGATCAAATAAAAATGTTGTTTTACAAGCAATGAAAGTTGCAGGAAATCTAAAAGTTTGTCAAAATTGATTTAATTTACTGGTGAAACTCTAAACATTAGAATATCTTGCAAAAGTTAACTTAAGTCAGTAATTTAACTTAAAAGGTGAAAGTAATATATGAGAGACTCAATTACATGCAGAGTCATATATTTCAGCCTTTATTTGTTATAATTGTGATGATCATGGCTTACAGCTGATGAAAACCCCACATTCAGAATCTCGGACAATTAGAATATTGTGAAAAGGTTCAATATTCTAGACTCAAAGTTTCACACTCTAATTAGCTAATCAATCTAGAACACCTGCAAAGTGTTTCTGAGCCTTTAGAGGGTCTCTCAGTCTAAGTGGAATTACTGAAATAAATGGACTTTAGCATCATATTCTCATTTTCTGAGCTTCAACTGTACATTGAAGGTTGTTTATTAATCTATGCAGATGGGCTGCTGGGTCTGGGCACCATGTTATCAGAGCAAAATTATTCTACGTTAGAGAATAAAAAAAAACAATTTTGGGAACAACTCAGGCAGGGCAAAACAACGCTAAACTAATAGCACGTTTATTAGGATTATGTTCACCGCACTTGTTCATTCTAGCAGGTGAGGGGGGGGGGGGGGGGGATTTACACTCTGCGATTGTAAACACATTTTTCACTAGGAGTGGTAGCTTGTAAAGAAAGGGAGATAGGGAGCATCCGCCCCCCCAAATGTAGATTATTCCACATCCAAGTAATCCTGGCAGTCAGGGATCCACCCCAGCATCCAGGAAGTGACTACCAAGCCAAGCCCGACAAGTAGAGATCCTCATCCCCAAGGTCATCGACAGCCTTTGACACCCACCATCTGAAATCCTCATCCCAGAGCTCACTGTACAGTAACACAATTCAGACCCCCCTGGACAACACCCTATCAAACGGTTACCCCTGGCAACAACCTCAGGGCTCCATCAGACAGCCCCAGGTCACTGACCCAGCCAAATCAATGGAGGGCAGAAGTTAGAAGCTACTGAATTAGACTTCCACCATCATTGTGCTCTTATCTTTGTTGAATCAGTGATGTGTATGTTGGCATTTACACTGATGCTGTCTTGTGAAACTCACTAAGAGAGGACTTCATTAAAGCTGCTGTTAACCTGTTACTGATTTGTTTTCTTTTCTCTGATAAGAGCCCGGTTGCATGTGTTTGAAATTATAGATCTAAATAATAAAAATAAATATTTTGTTGCAGGAGCTCGATGACATCCGCAAGGCTGGAATGAAGCACTTCCGCAACATCGTAGTGGATGAATCAAACATTCTGACCTGGCAAGGGCTCATTGTTCCTGTGAGTACTGAACTGGTGCCAGTTGGAATTAGCCTGTTAGCTTTTAGGACAAATAATACATGTTAGAATGTATAACAAAGAATTGATCATTTCTTTATTATTATTATTTTTTTTAGATAATTGATAGTTTTGACCCTCAGATGTTTATAATGTTATAACGTTGTGAGTTTTCTCTTAGTTTTAAGCATATTTTGGCCAAATGCTTTGTGGAAATAAAGTAGTTTTGCACACGTAATGGATTATTATTAGGTATCAATTAGGGCTGGGCGATATATCGATATTTAAAAAATATCTATATAATTTTTAAACAAGATACAAGATGACTTTATATCGATATAACTGGTCAAACTGCTGTGCTAGCGATTAGCCGCTATGCTAGCGACATGTTTCTCCGTCTCTAAGCGGCTATTACATGTATTCTCACAAGTTAGCTCAATCTGAGAGCCTCTGGGTAAATGTGCTGCTCTAAACTTTGCATTTGGCGTCCTCGTTTTTAATTATTTGGGGATGTTCAACACCAACGGAGTTCTGTTTTTCCATCCTGCTTGTGCGAAGAGACCTGTCAAACCCCTCCCTCCGCTGTGTAATGAGGAAACATCTACGGATAGCCGGAGTGGCCAAATTTCCTCAAACATATTGTAAGGGTTTGAATAGTAAACTATAGGGTTAACATTTTATTTTGAAGGTGAGCTCAATGGGTGAGAAATGTTGTTCCGGTTCCATTTTTTCTGCTCTAGTTAGCTATGCTAGTAAATACTCCGTTACGAGCGATCCTGTTGAAAAAGTTAAGAGTTTGTAAGGCGTGGGTTATGGCAACAGTAACCCGAAAATAATACTCATAAAAGAACAACCAGAGACTCTGAGTCATTACAGTATAATCGCTGATATGAGCCAATATGAGACTCCATGTTTGCCCTAATAACTAATAACTCCACGGTGCATGACCCATGTGATCTTCAGTAGATGCAATTACATCATCATACATTCAGTTTAACATAATAGGTTTTTTTTTCTCTGGACAAGAGATAAACGATATGGCCCACCTCTAGATGAAATTTAAATAATTTTACATTAATTATAAACATATAATTAAAAAGTGCCTGTGAGACATTTGATACATCTCTAGCTCTCGTGTGTGTGTGTGTGTGTGTGTGTGTGTGTGTGTGTGTGTGTGTGTGTGCGTGCGTGCGTGCGTGCGTGCGTGTGTGTGTGTGTGTGTGTGTGTGTGTGTGTGAACAGACAGCTGTACCAGTGTTCCTAAAGCTCACACTGGTAGAGAATGGGCACTAAGTTAGACAAGAATCAATGCATTTAATCTACTGTTTTATGTTTATAATTTCTCAAGACAGCTTGAAGTGAGTTGACTTGTAAATATTTTACAGGAGGAAAAATATTGAGATGTATATCGGAATTCAGCAAAAAGATATCGAGATATAAGTTTTGGTCCATATTGCCCAGCCCTGGTATTAATTTAATCCTACGAAGAGATGGAAAAATATCCTCATTTTAAAAAGAAATAAGGCCTTTGATAAAAACAAAAAATTCAAGTCAAATATTTTCAGGCAAGAAATTCAGTAGGTCACAATTAAAAATCCTACAAACTGGATTCATGTTATGTTCCTTCTGATCATTTAGTAAGATGTAAACATTTGCTTTATTATTTCAGTCTGGTTCTCAAAAAGAAGATTGACAATTGCTTCCAGGGTCAAGCTTTTATCAAAGTGTAAAAACAAGAAGTTTCCTTCGCCAGAGCAGTTTGATCTCTCTGTGCTGATGTGAAAACATAAATACATTTAATTATTATTAATCGGGGGCCGTAACAGTTATGTAGCCAGAAATTCATGTGTTTTGTGGCTCAGTACACAAATGATTGAATTTAAATTATTTTTTTTTATTTGAGTGAATTGAGCGAGGGTAGCAGAGGATTTAAGCAGTGTTCCCCCTACATAAGCTGAAATTCCAGCACAGTGTCTATGAAATCACCCACCCCCATTCCACTCTCACGGCCGACGCATGACACCAAAACGTTCCACGTGCTATTACCCCCTTTCCCGCTCTCACAGACGGAACACGTTGGTGAAACGGTCCGCGAATGTACTCCTCACCCCCCACCACGCCACGGCTGGAAATTTTTTTGGGGGGAAGTACTGTAAAGTATCCGCTCCGTAATCGGAAGGTTGCAGGTTTGAGCCTTGCTAAATTTGTCCGTGTCTTTAGGCAATTCACTTAACCCACATTACCTGCTGGTGGTGGTTGGAGGAACCAGTGGTGCCTGCGTACGGCAGCCTCGCCTCTGTCAGTGGGCCCCGGGGCAGCTGTGGCTACATTGTAGGGTGTGAATGTGTGCATGACTGAATGACCGATTGTGGTGTGGAGTGCCTTGGGGGGTTCTAGGACTGTAGAAGGTGCTATATCAAATACAGACCATTTAAAATCCTCAGATTCTCACTCTTATTTTCACCCTAAGGACTGTGCTCCATATGACAAAGGAGCGTTTCGAATTGAGATAGTCTTCCCAGCGGAGTATCCATTCAAACCCCCGAAGATCACCTTCAAGACAAAGATCTACCATCCCAACATTGATGAGAAGGGCCAGGTGTGCCTGCCCATCATCAGTGTGGAAAACTGGAAGCCAGCCACAAGAACTTGCCAAGGTGAGTGTAAGGCAGAGCAAGGTAGCTCTGTTTATATAGCACATTTCATACACAGAGGCAATTCAATGTGCTTGTGTAGGGAGAATGATGCAATGTCACGTCTCTCTGCTCTTCCTGTGTGTGTTTTGTAGTAACAGGTTGTGTTTTGTGTTTGTCCTGCAGTGATTCAGTGTCTCATTGCTCTGGTGAACGCGCCTCAGCCAGAACACCCTCTGAGGGCAGACCTGGCAGAGGAGTTCACTAAGGACCGCGCTAAATTCATGAAGAATGCTGAAGAGTTTACAAAGAAACACAGTGAAAAACGACCTGTAGACTGATGACTCGGCACTGACACACACCTGCTGGCCTCCTTTCTGTTTCCTGATGGAAGAACCCAGCCTGACTCTCTGTTCTTACCCCGTGTTTCACAGAGATGCCCTGTTCTTGTGTACATGCAATGTTTAGCACTCTCCACCTATCTTCAATAGAGGCTTGTGTTTCTGTTTCTCTTTCCCAGAAAAAAAGAAGAAAAAAGCAGGACTTTTTGGAGTGTTCAGGTTCTGGCCTCAAGGTGTCACCTTTTGGTTATTTTTGACTTCTTTCTACTGATTTCTTTTTAGGAAAAATGTCAGAGATGGCATTTGAAAGACAAAAACAATAAAAAGTGCTTTTCGGCTTAAATGTCAAATTTAATCTCTGATTATTCATTATTGTATGCAGACATGTTAACAGAGATGAAGCTTTATGTTAAAACGTTAATATGCTGCCCCTCTGTTTTCTTTTTCTCTAATGCATTTTATTTTATGAAAGCCATTACAAATTACAGTTTATTCCTGATAAGTCCAAATGTAAAACAAACCAATCTTGCAAATGCAGCATTCACGTGTCATTGAAACCATTTTTTTGTATTTAGAAAAAATATTCCTTCTAAATAAAAAGTTTCCACCAATAGGTGCGCTGTCAGAGTGCTGCAACTTTTATTTTGAATAGAAAGAATAATGTTAAATTTCAAGTGGTTTGTGAATGGTGAATTAGGTTTGAAGAAGTAATGAAGTACTTAACTGATAAAATACACAAAATATTGTTGAAGAGTTGCTGTAGATGAATGCGTATTAGTTATAAAGTGAATTCATTAACCTGGGTGAATGTTAGTTAAAAGTTAAACAACATTTTCTCTAGATCTGCACAAAGTTGGGACTGTTTCAATATGAAAAATAAAATACTTTAAAGGTTGACTATGGAACAATTTAAAAACCTATATTTTAAAAATACATTCATGGAGTGTTTAGAGGCGTGCAGAAGGAAGGTACAGTATTTCCTTTAACCCTCCCACTATCCTATTGGGTGTCACACCTTTTAGGACAGTGGGAGGGTTAAAAGCTTTATTTTAATTTAAAAGAAAATATTTGTTTTGATGGGCGCGACACTGGGTTTATGCTTACCAGCCAATAGAGGGCAGCATTGTGGATTGCCAAATACTGTAAACAGTCTGCTCGGCACAGCAATGCTGGTACTATTCAAAATGGCGAATTCAGCAATTCAAGCTTCTGAGCCCAGAAGATGTCGTTATACTTCTCAGAAGAGGAGCGACCATAAAAATCCAGAACCAGACTGAGTTCAAGTGAAGCCTATAACAGATGGACCCAAATAAAACATTTCACATATCAGCTGCGAACCTGTGATCCTGATGGCTGGAAACCTTGTTCTACTGAAAACCTCCACACACCAGATGCCACTTTGAGTTTTTAATAATCAACCTTTAACAGTTACTCAAGCTAGGAAATATTCCAGAATTTATCTGCCAACTAATTTATGCAAGCAGGTTTTGTGCTGTTAAAGGTGATATATGAAACGTTTTTACAAAAGTTATATTTTTGAAAATAATACCTCCATGGGGCACCTAGAGGTATGCAGAATTAATGTACAGTTATCAAATTTTCATTTTGACGGGCATGACACTGGGTTTGTGTTTACATCTAACAGCCACTAGAGGGCCCCATTGCATTAAAAAGTCCACTCAGCAAGGTGGGGCTGGGAATGTGTAAATTGTCGGACTTGACAAGTCAAGCAGCTGATTCTGAGCCCACGAGATGTTCTAACGGTAAATTATGTCCTAAAATAAACTTTGTAGAAATTAATCCTTATCCTGTACGATTTGTCACTAAACATGTTGCTGGAATGTGTCAGCAGTGAACCAACATTCTGAGGGCTGGAAGACTAGTTCTGTTGTTGCGATACCACCTCCGAACACCAGAGGTCCGTGTTCCATATTCAACCTTTTAAAGGTAAGGTAAGAATGACATCCTGTGGTCAATTTGGGTACTGCAATCTATGTATTAAAACAAATCAATCCTGTGTGAGCAGGGGTGGACAGGCCTATCTGCAGAGCCCGATTAACGGAAAGGCAAAGTAGGCACGTGCCTAGGGCCTGATTGGCTGGATGGGGCCCAGAAAGAGGGACAAAATTAAAATTAAATAAATTAAAAATAAAATGTACAAATGTCCTATGATAGAATTTGTAGGTAGGACTCCTATCTACATTTTATTTCAATATTTATTAATTAACTAAAAATAGTGACAATGTTTATCTTAACCATAGACCGTTACATTAGCTACGTCACATTAACGCCAGCCCATGACAGTAGCCTACAACTTGGGCTCCACCCAATTAAGGACGTCAGAGAAGCGGTCAGAGTCAGAGCGGGACACAACAAAACTAGCAGGTGTTTTTGAGTAGGCTAACTCTCACGATGCTTTCGGGTGCAGCAAAACGTAAAAAAAAAAAAAAAAAATGAAGAGCAACAAAAGAAAATACAGTGGGGGGCTTTACAGAAGTTTCTGTCGGGCAGCTGTCCAACAGCTGTGAACCTGCTCGAGTCAGCAGAGCCAGAGGCCGGACCCGAGCCAGACCCAAAGGAGACACGGTCTGAAGACGCAGTGGAAGATGCAGCAGGAAATGCGGCGGAAGACGCTATAGCGCCAACGCCGTCAACATCAATGCCGTCACAGAAGGACGAACTGGAAGAACAGCAGCTAGCCAGAAGTGAGCCCAATATAGTCCAGAGGTGGAAAGACTACTAAAATTTCCTACTTAAGTACGAGTACCAATACTTTGATAATTTTTTATTCAATTACAAGTAAAAGTACTTGCCTGAATTTTTACTCAAGTAAAAGTAAAAAGTATCGTAAACAAAATGCACTCAAAGTAAAAGTTACTTAGTTACATTTTTGTCAGCATAAGGATGGCTACATCTAAGCAGTGCTAAATCACAACGCCAGTTCACAAATCGCTTGTGTGCACACACACACACACACACACACACACACACACACACACACACACACACACACACACACACACACACAAACACACACACACACACACACACACACACACACACACACACACACACACACACACACACACACACACACACACACACACACACACAAACACACTCAAACACGCACAGCTTGAAGGAGGGATTTCTATCCAATCAGTGAGAACAGGACATGCACATTGATTGGACGAGGTTTAGAATGGTAGGTTTCAATTGTGATTAAAATTATTCTTAATTTTGAGAAAAAATCATTTTTTAGATGCCATCAGTGTGTGAGGTATCTCAATGTTTTCATGACAAAACTCTAACATGAGACTGTGCTCTAACCTGTCACATAACAAGCTAAATGCAGTCAAACATTTCAGATGGACCGTATGACAGCTGCTAACGTTGGCCCTGCCCTACTTTACCTACTTTACAGTTCCTTTATTCGTGTCCATCCTAGAGCTCCTCTCTGACCTTCATGCTTATTTAGAGCAGCTGATTTTTAAAGCTAGCAGAGTTCATCCTTGGTAGTGGGTTCACTCACTCATTTAACCCTTCACCACTGAAATCAGTTTGTTCATCCCAATCCTCCTAAATAATCCTCCAATCGTCCAACTGGAATCCTTAAGGGTCCCGTAACGTCCATCCTGTCAGAACAGGCCGTGGGAGCCCAGGTGTTACTAGAACTAAAGGTGTCTCCTCACCAGCGTGAGCCTCCAAACTGTGAAGGTTGGTCTCCAAACATGAACTTTAAATTCATGCATTTATCTCCTCTTGTAACACTTTAACATGTTTTAAAAGGCTTGTATCATGATATGTTACACCTCGCAGACCAAAGATAAGATAAAACATAATCATAAACACTGCAGAGACGTCATTATGTATGAAATAGAAGTTATTTTCCTGAGCCATTACTTCAGCCAAGATATAAGATGCATGGATTTGATGAAACCACACTTTCTCATGCAGTTCTATATGTGTAACACGCACACATGCACGCACGCACATGCACATGCAAGCGCGCGCACGCACACACATGCACACGCAAGCGCGCGCACGCACACACACAGCAGCATGTTAGAATCATGTGAATGACTAATTTAACTACACTGAACTGCTTTAGTAATACTTTAGTCTCTTATTCTGGAGTAAAATAAAGAAACAAGCTAAATCATCACATATCTGTGGCATCAAGGAGCATCTTCTGAGTTCAAACACAGGGATGGAGCACAATGTTTACACCTGAACAGTATCAGGATGTTTTAACTCTCAGAGGCCTGCAGGTCTTCTGTTTTATGAGCAAAGCGCTGAGAATCCGCTTGTTATGAGCGCTAAACGTTATTTTGCCGCTGCCGTGCGGAGCGGTAGAGAAACACATTTCAAACACGGAACCGAGTCCGGCTACCGAACCGAGCAGAATTCTGATGACGTCACACCGGTGCGCGAAAGTGCGGGTTCCAACCCACAGGAGAGGAGGGAGAGAGGAGGTAAACAGCGAGTTGAGGAACTGAACTGATGTCTTTGAGCAAAAGTGTAAACCCCCCCCACCCCCCCACGGTTTAGACGTGGCTCTCATGCAGGTGTCTATTTCCGTTCCGACGCTGCTTCACGTAATATTTTAAATTTATTAAGCCTATAATTATTTTTATTCAGTAACAGATGTGATTTAAAATGTAGCGAATTACAATTCTTTTTAAAAAACTTACTCAAGTAAAAGTAAAAGTACAGCTTTTAAAAACGACTTAAAAAGTATAAATATACAAAAAAGCTACTCAATTACAGTAACGTGAGTAAATGTAATTTGTTACTTTCCACCTCTGATATAGTCTTACAGCAGGAGCCTCACAAGCTACCCATCTGATCCTGCAAAGTGGTACCAAACTGATGACAGGATGCGTGAGTACTTTGCACTAAACCATCCCTCTCAAAATATTGGATATTCTTCAGCATCGCAGAGGAAATCGAGACATAAACCGAAGCTTAACCAAGGAACATTTCTTTAGACGTGCTTCTGCTGTGACTGAGGCCCTGTTATGCTGGAAGGCTGAAGATCATCCCGAAGTGGAGCATACTAAATGGTTTCCTTGGTAAGTGTTGCTGGTTTTATTAATTATTTTTCAAATATTTTATTAATGTTCAAATAGCATAACAAACAATAAGTTCACACTCAGAAAATTCACACCAAGTTTCTGATTCAGCAGAGGTGAAAACAGCCTGAATGAGCATAAAGCAAGATCAAAACTTAAGATAACGTTTTCATTTTATTAAAATACTTTCTTTTAAGATTATAGATTGTATTAAATTCATACTGTAATAATTTAGGCTGCATGTTTATAGTTTGTTTTTGCGCCTTTAAACATGCTTCAGTCCATTCAAATTAATCTATTTATTCTTGAATGTCTTTCCACCATCATGTGATTAATTTGTCAACATTTATAAATGTATTAAGTTATTGTATTTAGCAGAAAATCTTTTTAATTAAATGTAGTCATTAAATATAAACACAGCAAATAAGAGAAACATATTTGCTCTGTTTACATAGTTTAATGACACCTAGTGGTTATTTACTGGTACTACCGCCTTAACAATGACACTCCCAATAGATAAGATGAGGATAATTTATTAGCATTTAATACAGCTGTGCAATGACATATCAATTATTAATATCAATAAATAGTCTGATAGAATGTTTTACATACAAAACATGACTTACAAACAACCAATTTGTAACCAAAGACTAGGCTATGTAAAATGTGAATGAACTTTTATTAGTAACTTTGGTAAGTCTCAGATTTCAATTCATTAAATAATGGAGAGGGGGCCCCAAAAAAATGCAGCCCGCCTAGTGTAGTCCATTAATTTAATCCGGCTCTGCCTATCTGGCATCACGGCACTATCCTGGTGGGCCGCTAACCCAAGTGGGACACTTGCCCAGCATTTAGCATTGTTAGCTTAACGTCAGCATCTAACCCTCTTTACCAGATATTATGGTATAAACTATGTTCACAAGGCAGGCACTGACAGAGGTATCCAGATAGCCTAAAAACAGAAGCATTAGTGAACACGAAAGATGGATGGGTGCAGTGGAGAAAATGCTGTTAGAATAAAGACGTGTAGTGTGTTTAAAGTGTTCAGGAAGACTCTGATAGTCTCTGTGATGTTTCTCAGTCATTTTCTTTTTAGTGTCAGGGCACGGAGCCTGATATGAAACGGAGTCCGAGTCACATAAAACATGTTGGTTTTAATTGAGATTAAAGTCAGTAAAGTTTTATTTCCTCTCTCCTAAATATCTACGATGAGAGATTTGTTGTCATTTTTGAAAAAAAAAGAAAAAAAAACCATTTTGTTTCTAAATTAAGAAGAAAAAAAAGAGAAAAAAAGTATGGATATTTTTTCAATGGGATGCTGATTTTAGTGGAAAATTAATTTACAATGAACAGATCTAAAAATGATACTGGTACTTTTACACTGTAAAAAGAATAACCATTCTGTTGTGGAAAATAGTTAATAAAAACTCTGCTGCTGCTGCTTAAACCTGCATTTTTTTATTTTGGGCTGATCTATATTATTAAAAGGAGTTGATGGCTTAAAATCATTTTAACTAAAGTTATTCAGACCCACTGTAGAAGGTCCAAACAGCCTGAGTTAAGCTGTGGAAGTTAAGTAATTGTGAAATAATCCTAAAGCTTCTGCTGTTTTCTTATTCAAGCTGAATTGAATGATGATGATAATAATAATAATAATAATAATAATAATAATAATAATTTTATGTTAGCAGTGATGCTAGTGCTAAAAGGCTTTTCCTACATTTGGCTAGTTGGGATCTGGTCACCCTAAATAGAACCATATAGATTCCACACCACATCTGAGCTCTGTCTATGGGTTGTGGCCCCCAATGTGACTGAGATGCATGTTTTGTGATAATTTCACTGTAAAATTCTTACTTATTTAGTGATGTGACGTTCATGAACAAATCAAAATTTTTGAACAGGTTTTCAAAGTGAATGATGAGAGCAGAGTCCCTGTAGAGACCCGTTCATCATGTCTTCCGGTAACAAATCTCCCAAGAAGTTGATAAAGCGCACCCACTCAACCCCCACCTACCGCTCTGACGGACGTCAGAGGAACACTACCCAACCACCGTGCACCCTCATGGACACTGAAGGAACACGTTGCTTTTAAGATCCCCCCCTCTTGGCTTTGCTTCGTTCAAAGGAACCAGTCTTTTGAACGGCTCTTTGAGCTAAACGACTGACTAATGAACAGCTCCCATGAAAGAACCATAAATCCTATCACTATACTTATTGCTCCTTAGATGGTGATTAAGATGGCAGTTGAAAAGCACATCACCCCCAAATAAAATTTTTTGCTGATGAACTGTATAACGGTCTAATAGTGCTGCAGACATGTGTGATATGGCCGGTTGCCACATGACACAGCAGCACCAGCAGTGGGCAAGAATTCCTTTTAAAAGCTTTATTCAATCTCGTTTAACATGCAGCAGCATTAGGAATCAATTTATCCCCCTTACTTGCTGTCTTAGGCTGCCCCTAGTGGTGGACACAACAATGTAATAATTACCGTAAATCCTCTAATACAGGCCGGTATTCAATTAAAGGCCGGGTCTCCAATTCTGGCCAGTGTCGGAGTCAGCAGAGGTAAATAATGGCCGGTCTCTTATTGTGGCCGGATGGAATGTGGTAACAAGCTAGTACGAGTGTCCCAGCGGCAGGGTTATAGTCCCCAAATCAAGCAGCAGGAGGCAGTAGAAGTTCACGCAGACCTTTTTCATGCTTTTTCTTCAACACTTTGTAACGCTACAGACACGATCCTCTATCACGCTCCTACCACACAGAGTCACGGTGTCAGTTAACCATGCTATTTCAACCCGCTCCACAGAACACACATCACCTTCCCTGTGGCTTACATAACACTCACACAACACGCAAATCAACACATAGTAACTAGCAGAACGATAGGAAACACATATAACACAATACCCAGAATGCACCTGGCTTACAACCCCAGCCAGGTCATTACACTATCAAGTTCAAAGAGAACGTGCTGATTATGCTGCAGAACACTCTGGAGAGCAGCAGTAGGGGGTGTATGAACTGCAGTAATCCCTCGTTTATCGCGGTAGATGCGTTCCAGACCTGGCCGCGATAGGTGAAAATCCGCGAAGTAGGGACTCCCAGCATGCCCCTCGCGGGGATTCCCTCCACGTCGCACCTACGTCACAAACCGCAGCTATAAACGGAAGTCGCCTTTCCAGCTCACCACTCAGTCATCGTTTCTTCAGATTCACGATCAGAGTTTCCAACCTACCGATCAATCCAACGAACTATCAGCTCATAGTAAGCTATCTTACTTACTTCTGGAAAGCCCGGCATTTCCGTGTCACTTCGTTGACGCTCGAACGCTCGGGGGTTTCCTAGAGCAGCCGGCGTTTCACCGACGCTATCACTTCCGAGTCTGTGAAACCACTCTCCCTATTGAATTATCGTATGATCACATTCTCTTTTTGGGGGTAAAACTTAAGTGCCAGACCGTAGGTACTGACACGCGATCGTTCATGTCGGTTCATTTCCTTTAATGTTTTCTGTCTTTTATTTGCGCCTGATGTGTATCGCTGCTGTGGAGCGGGGCGCTTCACCTTGTCCTCAGAATGCACAGATCACAGCAGGGAGCGCTCTGCTGTTTTCGCGGTCGGTAGATCTGCCTCCTGAGCACGGCCACAGTAGGTGTCGCCACCTCAAAAACTAATTTAACACGCGATCGTTCATGTCAGTTCATTTCCTTTAATGTTTTCTGTCTTTTATTTGCGCCTGATGTGTTTCGCTGCATGCTGTGGAGCGGGGCGCTGCGCGCATCACCTTGTCCTCCGACGCACTGATCACTGATACAGCTGCCAAACAGCAAGCGCTCCGCTGTTTTTGCGGTCGGTAGATCTTTTAGAACTGCAGTTCAAAGGTAACTCATGAGGTGAATATATATGAACCCAGGTAGCAGTTTCTCTTTAGGACTGAGAGGAGATGCAGGAAGATAATAAACAGGCAGGACAGAAAAATAGTCAAATAAAAACAAGTTAGTTTTTGTACCTGCTGGTTGCAACAAACAACCATTGAAGGTCATCAGAAGTGAGGAACAGAAAATGAAATAATTATTTTAATGTTTAGAGCAGCAGGAACTCCGAGAGGCTGCAGGCGCATCAGTGAGTTTGCAGCCGCTGCGCAGGGGGAGGGGGGAGAGGGCTGAAGCAGGAACTACCGTTGTTAAAAGAAATGTGTTTAACTTTGAAAATGTGGGCACAATTTTAATTGTCAAAAACTCCAGCGAACCATTAGCTCATTTTGCTCAAATAGAAATAGAGGCCTGCCTCTAATACTGGCCCTCCTTCCAATAAAGGCCTGGAGCTTGATGAGCTTGAGTCAAATACAGGCCCGGGCCTGTATTAGAGGATTTACGGTATCCATATCCTATTGGCAAATTTTGACTAAAAGTTCCTTTTATTCAGCCAGCAAGTTATTATTTGACGGGAAATTACAAACAGGCGTCTCCCAGCAGATAATATGACGATGTACAAGAGGCGTTATTGTGCCAAAAAACAGTTCATTTATATTTGAGCAAAAAGTGTCATGTCTGCTGTTTTTCACCAGTTTAATTGATTAAAACAGCTGTTCCCAGCTGTTAATCTGGGTAATTAAAATGCTTTAGAACAGCTTGGACTGTTTGAAATGGCTTATAACTTTGGAGTTTCCCAGAGACTTACATTTATTGAAGGGCATGAATAATCTTGGACATGACACCTTTTGCTCAAGTGTAAATAACAGCTGAGAAATGTTTGGGGCACAATAATGCCTCTTGTACATCGTCTTATTATCTTTTGGGAGACACCTATGTCATTTCCAGTCAAACAATAACTTGCTGGTTGACTAAAAGTAACTAAGTCAAAATTTGCCAGCGGTATGAATAATTATGGGCAGCATTGTTTATACGCTATTTAGACATTTTAGTGCATTTTAATTAAAATGTTATTATTCAGCCAAAACAGCCAATGTGGCACCCTCTTCAGGTTTGATTGAGTTTAATCTTGCATATTTAAATAGAAGAATGTGAACAAATCGTCTTATTACTACTACTACTGTGACTACTACTGCTACTGCTACTACTACTACTACTACTTATAATAATAATAATCACTGTGAGTTAACTACATGGCTTTGTGATCGAACCTGAAATTCAATCAAATCACACAGCTCCCTGCAAAGCAATATGAAAATCCACACCAGAGTCAAAAATATTTAATACAGTATATTTATTTATTAAAGTCAGGGTTCAACTTGAGGTAGATATTTCTGCAGGTCATGTTCAAGATCACTTTACCCTGAAGTTCTTTGAGGGAGGCCTCAGCTTTGTCTGCAGCTCTGTGGTTCTCCGTTAGGCTCAGTCAGAGGGCAGGTACCAAACCGGCCTCCCAAATCCTGCTCACACAGTTAGTCTGGCTCTCACTTCCTAAACTGAGAAATGGGAGCTGGGACCTTGATGTCCTGGCCCTTCTCCAGCTTCTTTTCACAGTCAATCAGGTAGTTGACCCCATCGATCACCAGCTGAACCAGCTCCACCTGAATGCAAACAACACAGGTTATTCCTGCTGCCACACAGAGGCTTTAGCAGGGATGAACATGGACTGCAGCAATACAAGCAAATTACAGCTACATGATAAAGCATAAAAAGTGATCTCGCCTCAGATTTGCCCAAACGGTCGAGATTGGAAATGTCAAAGGTGTCTCCAGTGGCGGCTGTATCTACTCCACCTGTGCCTCGCTTCTGCAGCCGCAAGTTGTCAAGGATTTTGGGGAAACGTGAATCCTATGAAGCAATTTGTGATACACACATGAAATAACATAATTTATACAGAGAAGAACCAAACAAATTCATCAGTGTGAGAGAAAACGAATCATCTCGGCTTCTCCTTTAAAATGATTTGTTCTATTACATTTATAAATATATTTGAATGAGGTCACATGCTCTGCGTGCGTGTGTGTGTGTGTGTTTGTGTGTGTGTGTGTGTGTGCGTGCGTGCGTGCGTGTTACCTTGCTCAATTTTGGCAGGCGCACATGCACACCTGCCCTGAGGCCTGTGCCCAAATTGGAGGGACATGTCAGGATGTAGCCCAGGTGCTCATTCCACATAAACTCCCAGCCTCTTTCCTGGATCAGATGCTCCACCTGTCGTCCCGTATGAGAAACAATGCTGATGTGAAATATCATGAAACAATCTACCTTATGGACAAGAGAAGCAGGACTACTTTGGTGGAAACTACTAAACTGGGTTAGATTTAGCTTGAGCGATATCAAAAGTAGTTTTTTTATTTTAATTGTATTGTTGCTATCTAATGATTAAGAACAATACACTGTATCTCCCACTGACAAACTCCTCCTCACCTGTTTGAGACCTCTGCAGAATCTCTCAAACACCCTCTTCATGTTGCCACCCTTCTCCATAGAGATGACTCTGGTGTGGTCCTCCTCATTGATCCAGATCAGGAAGGTCTTCTCATTGTTGTGCCTGTGGAAAACTGCTGAACATCAGTGAAGAGGTCTCTAGATAAAAGTCAGCTGTAACCATTTCTGATGACTCAGACATTTTTAAATGTATTGATTTAAACGTGCACAGCAGCCCACACACCCACACCAGAAAGTAGACAGGGAAAAGCACAACCCCTGTAGATAGAGATAATCAGAACTGAGGCATGCTGACACAGGGGCAGACGTAGCTGAGCGAACCGTACCAGATGCCCCTGGCGTCAGGCCAGTCTCTGGCCATAAAGGCGCATGTCAACAGTGGAGAGACAGGCTTGTCAAACAGGAAGTGGTCCTACAGGTGGAGGGGCAAAAGAAGTGAAAGGAGAAAACAGGCAGAAAGATGTCAAATAAGGCCATATGTGCTGTTTGGAGCGAATTATTATTTTTTAAAGAACCTCTGATTGATTTGTGTCCAATACAGGTCTTTTATTTATAAAAGGTGGAAGACAAGTGTTTCCTGTTTCTGGAAATTTCACAGAGCGAAGTCTGAAGCTAGTCTGTGATAATAGAAATTAAGATGAGTAATGGAGATATGAGCTTATCAATGAGGAAGTGATCATTTAAATGACTCAGCACATAAAGGTCAGAAGCCAACTGGAAACGGGTTTCTATCCGGGGCCAGGACAGTGCAGAACAGAATATCAAGCAGTTGTTCCAACCATTAAGCCACAGCGCTCATGTGAATATCAGGAGAAATTAAATTGTATGAACTAATGTTATGCATCTTTGGGCAGCATTGGCAAATTCAATTCAAGTTTATTTATTTAGCGCCAAATCATGACAAGAGTCGTCTCAAGGCACTTCACAAAGTAAACATTCCAGTACAGGTCAGTTCATTAAGCCAATCAGTAAAAAGTTTCTAATATAAGGAACACAACAGATTGCATCAAGTCACTGACTAGTGGTGACTTTACAGCAATCCTCATACTAAGTAAGCATTTAGCGACAGGGGAGAGGAAAACTCCCTTTTAACAGGAAGAAACCTCCAGAGGATCCTGGCTCAGTATACGCAGCCATCCACCACGACTCAGAACTTTCGTTCTTTGTCTGAACGAAACATGGCAACAACCCAGCGATTTCTCACAACTCAATGACTGTACTCCTCCCGGATTTGTTTACCTCTCCAAACCCCGTGGGTCGGGCCGCGGCGGTGGTCTCGCGATGCGAGACTTGGAAGGTCCTTCCCGTAAGCCTTCCTCCTCTCACCACTCTGGAATGCCTCGCCTGTCAACTCTCCGGCCCGACCCCCACAATAATTGTCACTGTTTATCGTCCCCCCAAGTTCAGCCCTGAGTTTTTAAATGAACTCTCTGCTCTTTTATCCCATCTGTCCTCCCTTTCCCCAAATGTAATTTTACTTGGTGATTTTAATATTCATATGGACAATATGGCCCTCCCCCTCAGCAAAGACTTCTCCTCATCTTTGGACAGCCTCAGTTTTCATCAATATGCCAATTTTCCCACTCACATTAAAGGTCACACCCTGGATTTAATCTGCTGCTCCGGCCTGACCCCCTCCAACTGTACAGCTGACCCGCTCCCTTTCACGGACCACTTCCTCATCTCCTTTTCTGTTCCCCTCCGTCTCTCCATCATCAAGTCACCACGTATCATTTCTTTTCGTAATATTAAGGACATTGATCTAGCCTCCCTGTCCTCCAGTTTTGCCACCTTGACCCCTAATTTGTCCTCTACTCCCGATGATCTTGTCATTCAGTACAATAACGGTCTGGTTTCTATCCTTAATTCATTTGCTCCCATCAAATCCCGCTCTGTATATTTTACTCGGTCTGCTCCATGGTTCACCCCTGCCCTACGCTCCTTGAAAGCTACCAACCGGAGGCTTGAAAGACTCTACAAGAAAACCGGTCTCACCATCCATAAAGACTTATATTCTGCTCAGATTTCTCTCTACAAGGACTCCATCTCCCATGCCAAATCTCAGTATTACTCCGGTCTCATCTCGTCCAACTCCAGCAACACTAAAACATTATTTTCCATCATGAACAGCATTTTTCAGCCTCCCGACTCCTTACCCATCCATCTTTACTCTTCAGAAACCTGTAACTCTCTCCTTCAGTTTTTAATGATAAGGTCAATAGAATCCATCTCTCTTTACCTCATTCCTCCCCTCCCTCTCCTGATTTATTTGAACCCACCATTCCGTTCTCCTCCTTTGAACTTCCCCATCCCTCAGAAATATTAGATTACATCACCAAATCCAAACCTTCCACCTGTCAACTGGACCCTATTCCAACTGTTTTAGTTAAATCGTGCCTTTCTTCTCTGCTCCCTTTTATAACAGCCATTATTCATTCCTCACTATCCTCTGGTACGGTCCCATCCCTATTCAAATCCGCTTCAGTCAGCCCTATTCTAAAAAAACCTGGTTTAGATCCCAATGATTTCAATAACCTCCATCCCATTTCCCATCTTCCCTTCATTTCCAAAGTCCTTGAGAAAACTGTTGCATCTCAGCTCCATTCACATCTCACCCGCAATAACCTTTATGAACAGTTTCAGTCTGGCTTCCGTCCCCACCACAGCACAGAAACAGCTCTCATCAAGATCACTAACGACCTACTCATTGCTGCTGATTCTGGTTTAATCTCTATTCTCATTCTCCTCGATCTGAGTGCGGCCTTTGACACCATTTCTCATCCCATCCTCCTTAATAGACTCTCTTCCTTAGGCATCACTCACACCCCCCTCCGCTGGTTTCAATCTTACCTTACTGGCCGCACTCAGTTCATCCAGTTAAAATCCTTTACCTCAGAACCCTCCCCAGTCAAGTCAGGTGTGCCCCAGGGCTCTGTCCTGGGGCCCCTCCTCTTCATAGTATATCTCCTCCCTATCAGCAAAATCTTCCGCAAATTCAATATCCAGTTTCACTGCTTTGCAGATGACACCCAGCTCTACATTTCCAGTAAGCCCAACTCAACTCTCCCACCATCCTCCCTTACACTCTGCCTCTCTGAAATCAAATCATGGTTCACCTCTAATTTCCTCAAACTCAACGGCAATAAAACTGAACTTCTTCTTGTTGGCACTAACTCCACCCTCTCAACATCTGACAGCTTTTCTTTAACTATTGACAGCGCCACAGTCTCCCCCTCACCTCACGTCAAGAGTCTGGGTGTCATTCTCGACAGCTCACTTTCTTTTCAGGCTCACATTAATAACTTAATTTGGTCAGCATACTTCCATCTACGTTCCATAAACCGTCTTCGTCCCTCACTGACCCCTCACACTGCCGCCATTCTCGTCCACAGCCTCGTCACCTCCCGTATCGACTATTGCAATTCACTTCTTTATGGTCTTCCCAACAAACTCCTTCATAAACTGCAACTGGTCCAGAATTCAGCAGCCCGTATTATCACCAGAACCCCTTCCTTTCACCACATCACGCCGGTTCTCCAGCAGCTTCACTGGCTCCCAGTTAAATTCAGGTCCATCTTCAAAATTCTCCTCCATACCTTCAAAGCAATCCACAACCTCTCTCCTCCATATATCTCAGACCTTATATGTATTCACACCCCGTCCCGTTCACTCAGATCTTCTTCTTCCGTCCATCTTGCGGTTCCTTCTGCCCGTCTCGCTACCATGGGGAGCAGAGCTTTCAGCCGCTCTGCTCCTCGACTCTGGAACTCACTTCCCCCAGACATCAGGAACATCGACAGTTTTACCCTTTTCAAAACAAAACTCAAAACACACATGTTTAAATCTGCCTACAACCTCTGATTTTATTGAAATGTTTCTTTCTGTTTTTTCTTCTTTGGGTTTTATTATTGTTTTATTGTATTTTATTACGTGTTTTGTGTAAAGTGACCTTGGGTGTCCTGAAAGGCGCTTTTAAATAAAATGTATTATTATTATTATCACCATGACTGAGTAGTGTCAGTGGCTTGATGCAATTTTCTGGGTTCCTTATATAGAAAACATTTTTTTTCTGTGTGTGTGTGTGTGTGTGTGTGTGTGTGTGTGTGTGTGTGTGTGTGTGTGTGTGTGTGTGTGTGTGTGTGTGTGTGTGTGTGTGTGTGTGTGTGTGTGTGTGTGTGTGTGTGTGTGTGTGTGTGTGTGTGTGTGTGTGTGTGTGTGTGTGTGTCTGCTCTGTCTTCTCGATCCCCAGTGAGTCGTGGAGGATGGCTGCTTATACTGAGCCAGGATTCTCTGGAGGTTTCTTCCTGTTAAAAGGGAGTTTTCCTCTCCCCTGTCGCTAAATGCTTGCTTAGTATGAGGATTGCTGCAAAGTCACTGACACTAGTCAGTGACTTGATGCAATTTGCTGGGTTCCTTAGATAGGAAACATTATTTCTGATTGGCTTAATGAACTGACCTGAATTGGAATGTTTATTATGTGAAGTGCCTTGAGACGACTCTTGTCGAGATTTGGTGCTATATGAATAACCTGAATTGAATTGTGTGGAAATAGTGAGGTACCCTTCCAGAACATAAGTTTAAGGTCTATAGTCCATGTAAAGGATACCACTAAATTATTTTTATTTACACTAAAAAATAAAGAAAGCAAAGTGAAACCAAAAGGTAATTAAAAGAAAGCAGAGACAGCTCATGAGCTTCAGCCCATGGCTTAACTCACATCAATGAGTTGCTGCTGCTCCTTCTCAGTCATGTCTCCCAGGCTGTAATAACGTCCAGAAAGGTCATCCTTTAGGCCAGCCAGAGCCATCACCACCACCCGCTCCACCTCACGACGCTCAGCCCTTGAACAGGCTGGGGGGAGGCTCAGTCCACGAATACTGCGTCCAGTCCGGACCCGAGATGACAGAACATAATTCTCATCAAACATTCCCTGGGTTATCTAAAAGTAAAGGGGAGAAAAAGAGAAATGAAACGAGTGCTTTAGTAGTGTAGGAATTAAACATAGGACACATGATGGTGGGAGTTTGGTGCAACCTTGGAGGCATCCAGGTCAGTGGGGTGGATCATGATTTTGGGGTCGTAGCCGTTGTGCCTGTCTTTGATGATGGGGTCGAAGAGCTCAGCAAATACCTGTAAATGGTTAAACCAGGTGTCACTGCACAGAGTTCTATGGAAAGTGTCAAAATACATTTAGGTAAAACTTGGTAGTTTTTAATACTACATAAAATGTTCTGTCTGCATAAAAACTATAATGATGGATGGATGTATTAATGGTGGATGTGATAAACAAACACTAAAGCGACATCTAGTTTGTGGAGGTTGTAGTTGCAATAATAGAACATGGTTTCCAGCTGTGGGGATACCAGGTTTGCTGCCGATACGTGTGTAGCTTGCCCAAAGCCTGTATTTATCGATCATTTACTAAAGTGACCACTTACATCACGTTACATGTGAAATGTTTTATTTGAGTCCATCTGTTGTAGGCTTCACCTAAACTCACTTTGGTTTTTAGATCTTTTATGGTTGCTCCTCTTCTGAGGAGGATAACAACATCTTCTGGGTTCAGAAGCAGCTGCTTGATTTGCCGAGTGAGCCACACAGTGACAGCCTTGTTGTGGCGAGCGGACAGCCCAGCGTAAAGGTGCCCTCTACTGGCTGGTAGACGCAAGCATAAACCCAGTGTTGTGCTCGTCAAAACAAATATTTGATTATTTTTTTAAATAAAACATACATTTTAAAGGAAATACTGCACTGTAACACACTTTTCACGTGTTTTAACAAAAAAAAAACACTTGACCGCCTTCAGTTGGTTCAGAACTCTGCAGCGAGGCTCTTAACTGGAACAAACCGAAGAGCACACGTCACTCCTATTCTAATGTCTCTGCACTGGTTACCCGTTCATTTTAGAATCCTGACTATAACTTTCAATGCTCTCCATGGTCAAGCCCCTCCATATATTACTGAGCTGTTAAAGCCTTATGCTCCAACCCAAGCCCTCAGGTCCACACACCAGAACCTTCTAGAAGATCCAAAGACCAGATATAAAAGTCAAGGTGATCGTTCCTTTCAGACTGTTGCACCCCGACTTTGGATTGATCTTTCTTTATCCTTACGTAGCATTGAGAGTCTGGACACTTTTAAAAAAACAGCTAAAGACCCTTTTATTTAAAGCTGCTTTTACCTAAATCTTTTATTTTCTTATTTTTTACTCAAATTTGTAATCATCTTTCATTTTTTTACTTAATTTTTTTCTGATGTTAATCAACTTCTGTTTTGAGATCATTATATCCGTCCATCCATCCATCCATCCATCCATCCATCCATCCATCCATCCATCCATCCATCCATCCATCCATTTTCATCCACTTATCGGGAGTCGGGTCGCGGGGGCAGTAGCCTAAGGTGAGAGGCCCAGACTTCCCTCTCCCCAGCCACTTGGGCCTCGCCTGGCATACCAGACTAAATAAATGTATTATTTGGTCAGGTAACGCTCCATTGACGGCTCTTGGTTGTGGGGCGGGTTCTACCATTGTCTTTCAAATGATCTCCGCATGCTACTGGACAATGAATGTGACATGCTCACCGCAACAGCTATCGGTAAATGAGGCGGTCCCCAGTTGAAGAAGGAGAAAACACATCATTTTTTTCCAAAAAAGGCACTTAAATACATCTATCTGCTCCTGATTCTAATGAAGCCCAAGTTGTAAGAGTCCAAAATTGATGTAAAAGCCGTTTCAAACGAGCTGTCGCCATCTTGTTTCACTCTGCTGCATTATCCCACCCACCAGGCATATAGAGTGCCCTGATTGGCCCACAAAGCGGATAAAGCTCTGTGATTTGTTCACTAAGCAGATAGAGCACTATGATTGGCCCACCATTATGGACCAATCACAGCTCTTTATGTGTTTGAAACCCCTCTAGAGAACTGTGATTGGCCAGCCAGAATGCTGTTAGGGGCTGCAGAGGTTCCAGTGGAGCATTCCTAGACCAAACTTTGCAAAGCAAGAATTTGGTCTAGTTCACCAGGCTAACTTGGGCCAGCTCCTCCGGGGTAATCCCAAGGCGTTCCCTGGCCAGGTGAGAGACATAGTCCCTCCACCATGTCCTGGGTCTACCTTTAGATCTCCTCCCGGTTGGACGAGCCCGGAAAACCTCACCAGGGAGGCGTCCAGGAGGCATCTTGACCAGATGTCCGAGCCATCTCAACTGGCTCCTCTCGATGTGGAGGAGCAGCGGGTCTACTCCGAGCCCCTCCCGAATGACCGAGCTTCTCACCCTATCTCTAAGGGAGAGCCCAGCCACTCTTCGGAGAAAACTCATTTGGGCCACTTGAATCCGCGATCTCGTTCTTTCGGTCATTACCCAAAGCTCATGACCACAGGTGAGGTAGATCGACCAGTAAATTGAGAACTTCGCCTTCTGACTCTGCTCTCTCTATATCATGACAGACCGGTACAACGCCCGCATCACTGTAGATGCAGCACCAATCCGCCTATCAATCTCATGTTCCAGTTTTCCCTCGCTCGTGAACAAGACCCTGAGATACTTAAACTCCCCCACTTGGGGCAGGACCTCATCCCTGACCCGGAGAAGGTATTCTACCCTTTTCTGAATCAAGACCATGGTCTCAGATTTAGAGGAGCTGACTCTCATCCCAGCTGCTTCACACTCGGCTGCGAACCGCTCCAGCGAAAGCTGAAGATCACGTTCTGATGAAGCCAACAGGACCACATCATCTGCAAAAAGCAGAGACCTGATCCTCATGCCACCAAAATGGATGCCCTCCACACCTTGGCTACACCTAGAAATCCTGTCCATAAAGGTTATGAACAGAATCGGTGACAAAGGGCAGCCTTGACGGAGTCCAACTCTCACTGGGAACGAGCCCGACTTACTGCCGGCAATGCGGACCAAGCTCTGACACTGGTCATACAGGGACCTAACAGCCCGTATCAGAGGGCCTGGTACTCCATACTCCCGGAGTACCCCCCACAGGGCCCCCCGAGGGACGCGGTCAAACGCCTTCTCCAAATCCACAAAATACATGTAGACTAGTTGGGCAAATTCCCACGCACCCTCCAGGACCCCCCTAAGGGTACTGAGCTGGTCAAGTGTTCCATGGCCAGGACGAAAACCACATTGCTCCTCCTGAATCTGAGGTTCAACAATCCGACGGACCCTCCTCTCCAGAACCCCTGAATAGACCTTACCAGGAAGGCTCAGGAGTGTGATCCCCCTGTAGTTGGAACACACCCTGTGGTCCCCCTTTTTAAATAAGGGGACCACCACCCCGGTCTGCCAGTCCAGTGGGACTGCCCCCGATGTCCAAGTGATATTGCAAAGCCGCGTCAGCCAACACAGCCCCACAACATCCAGAGCCTTAAGGAACTCTGGGCGGATCTCATCCACCCCCGGAGCCTTGCCACAGAGGAGCTTTTTAACCACCTCAGTGACCTCAGCACCAGAAATTTGAGAGGCCAACCCAAAGTCCCCAGACTCTGCTTCCTCACTGGAAGACGTGTCGGTGGGATTGAGGAGGTCTTCAAAGTATTTGTTATTATTTTGTTAGTATTAGTCCACCAGCAGGTTCGGGGGTTGCCACCACGACAGGCACCGATGATCCTGCGACCACAGCTCCGGTCGGCTGCCTCAGCAATGGAGGCATGGAACAGGGTCCTTTCAGACTCAATGTCCCCCGCCTCCCACGGATCATTTTGGAAGTTCTGTCGGAGGTGGGAATTGAAGCTTCTTCTGACAGGAGACTCTGCCAGACTTTCCCAGCAGACCCTCGCGATGCATTTGGGCCTGCCTGGTCTGACCGGCATCCTCCCCCACCATCTGAGCTAACTCACAACCAGGTAGGTAGTGGTCAGTTGACAGCTCTGCCCCTCTCTTCACCCGAGTGTCCAAGACATGCAGCCGCAGGTCAGATGAAACAACAGCAAAGTCGATCATCGAGCTGCGGCCTAAGGTATCCTGGTGCCAAGAGCACATATGGACACCTTTATGTCTGAACATGGTGTTCATTAAGGACAATCCATGACTGGCACAGAGGCTCAAAAATAAAACTCCACTCGAATTCAGATGGGGGGGGGGGGGGGGGGGGGGTCCTCCCAACCACACCTCTCCAGGTCTCACTGTCGTTGCCCACATGAGCGTTAAAGTCCCCCAGCAGAACGAGGGAGTCACCGGAAGGAGCGCTCTCCAGCACCCCATCCAAGGTCTCCAAAATGGGTGGGTAGTCTGAACTGTAGTTTGGTGCATAAGCACAGACCACAGTCAGAACCTGTCCCCCCACACGTCGGTGGAGGGAGGCTACCCTCTCATTCACTGGGGTAAACCCCAACGTACAGGCACCAAGATGGGGGGCAACTAGTATGCCCACCCCTGCTCGGCACCTCTCAGTGGGAGCAACTCCAGAGTGGTAGAAAGTCCAACCGCTCTCAAAGAAACTGGTTCCAGAGCCAGAGCCATGCATTGAGGTGAGTCCGACTATGTCTAGTCGGAACCTTTCAACCTCACACACCAACGCAGGCTCCTTCCCCACCAGAGAGGTGACATTCCATGTGCCAAGAGCCAGCTTCTGTAGATGAGGATCAGACTGCCAAGGTCCCCGCCCTCGACTATCACCCGTCACACACTGCACCCGACCCCTTTGGCCCCTCCCACGTGTGGTGAGCCCATGGGAAGGGGGACCCACGTTTCCTCTTCAGGCTGTGCCCGGCCGGGCTCCATGGGTGAAAGTCCGGCCACCAGGCGCTCGCCAACGTGTCCCACCTCCAGGCCTGGCTCCAGAGGGGGGCCCCGGTGACCCACGTCCAGGCGAAGGGACACGGCAATCATTGTTTTATTTTGTTTTGATCTATTTGAAGTAGGGCTGCACAGTGACACAGTGGTTAGAGCTGTTGCCTTGCAGCAAGAAGGTCCTGGGTTTGCGTCCTGGCATGGAGTTTGCATGTTCTCCCCGTGCATGCGTGGGTTCCCTCCGGGTACTCCGGCTTCCTCCCACAGTCCAAAAACATGACTGTTAGGTTGATTGGTCTGTCCACATTGTCCTTAGGTGTGAGTGTGTGTGTGCATGAATGTTTGTCCTGTGTGTCTCTGTGTTGCCCTGCGATGGACTGGCTCTCTGTCCAGGGTGTACCCCACCTGATTGCCCGTTGACCGCTGGAGATAGCCCCCCCCCCCCCCCCCCCCCCCACCACCATGTGGACAAAGCGGGTTCAGAAAATGGATGGATGGATGGATGGATGGATGGATCTATTTGAAGCACTTTGTGATTCTGTGTCAGTGATAAGTGTTATATAAATAAAATGTAATTACTTTACTTATGTACTGTCATTCTGCACACCTCTAAACATGCCGTGGATGTATTTTCTTTTAGTATAGCTTTTGATTAAATGGTTTCATATTCAACTTTTAATGGTGGATGTATTAATGTTAGAAATAAATGTAGTTTCAGAACATCTCCTTGAGGAATACCTCTAGATTTCCTAAACAAGCTGTTTGTGCTCTTTCTTTGTTTTATAATTTTACCAGAAGATGTGTTGTTGCTGACCATAGCTGTTCAAATAAATATTAAAGAGCTACTAAGCTGCTTGCTTTTAGCACCCCCTAGTGTCCATTTGTAGATGTAAAACTATCTCCTAGCTGTGCTTTGGTCTTTCTAACACCTTAACCTAACAGCTGAAATGTCTCCCAGCATTCCTAAGTGTCTACAGAAGTGGTGCCTCACTAAATTAAACAAATCAGTTGTGTTCATGATCTAAAACATGCAGGAAACATGCTGAAGACAGACAGTGGCGCCAGGTAGGTCAGATCAAATTTTCCAAGCCCCAGCAGACCAGACCGGTGTTCTGACTATCCGTGTTTCCTCATCGAATATTCCTACTGCAGTATGTTATGACAGTTTCGCTCTTGTTCACGGTGTAGTAACACGCTTATTAAGCACGGTTTATTTTAAATAGGCGATATTACTCAAAAATACAGAACTGTAGTATAATTATTAGCAAAAATATACAGTGTCGTTATTTATTAATGAAAAAGACAGTGTTTGTCATTATTCCGTGAATGATGGGAGAAATTTCTTGTTTACAGTAAAATAACAATATTTTACAAGCCATTAGCAAGGGAACTGTCAGGTAAACATACAAGCAATAATATAACCACTTCCGGAGGTTGTGTGTCTCTTCAGGAAAACAGCCTGTGACGCAGTAATCTGTCTGCACTTGCACATTTCCCCAAAGTATCACAAATCGACGAGTAGCATGGATAGTTGTAACACCGGCAACTGTAATGTTGCAAGTGTCATATTCTGGTCACAGGGGGTGATAGAGGCTGGGTGGCCTTCCATTAACCATGCAAAGGGTCATTTTAGCACATACTCGCTCAAGAAAATGATTTAGAAATATGAAAGGTTGCAAATTGTCCCTTTAATTATCATTAGGTCAAATATTTGCTGTTTAAGGTAAGATGTGAGGGAAGGACTTTTTTCATGTCATCTGTAGCCTTTTTGTAGATGGCTATTTGTAATTATTTGATGCATTTAGAAATTTAGCCAAGTGAATTATTTTAGATTTTTTTTTTCAAAATTTAAAATAATTTACCCGAACCATAATTCCTTATCCTATGTTATCATCTAATTTTTCAAAACTATTTATTGAACTTTTCTCTGCCTGTCTGTCAGAGATGTGGTGTTAATAAAATTTTGTCTTTATTTTTTGTTACCTCATAGCTCTCCTCATCACCAGCCACACAGCCCACTGTCTTAATGAAAGGGTGACCAGGGTTGTCGACACCAGTTTGGATGCACTGATCAAGGGTCCAGTTGTTGGGGGTCACCTTGTCCCTCAGTCTGGCATAAACAGCTGGACTCAGAGCTGAGGCCATGCAGTTATTGTGTTTCCTCAGGTCTGGGTAGTCAGAGCTTTAGGAGAGGAAGAATCAGAGAAACACTGAAAAAGGCAGATTTTTTTGTGTGTTTTACACCATAACAAGCTGCAAAAAGCCTAATTGTATTGGGATAAATGGAGCAGCTACATAATAGCAGCCATAATCATTCAAATATTGACAATTAACTTATTTGCCATTCTTATTGCTATCCACAGCTCTACATATGGAAAGCATTCATTTTATTAATTAATTTATTTATGAAGCCTCTTCCACAACCAAAGCGGACAGCCACGGTGCTGAACACATCAATGACATAATATAAAACCATCAGATAAAATGCGACACAATCATACAAACCATTAAAAAATTTAAAATAAAAAAAAGAAAAACAGACAATAAAAAAAAACAGCTAAGAAAAGAGAGGCCGGGCAACAATATCATGTTGAGTTTGCTATTGCAACAAGGCTCAGGCATACAAATATTCACATAATTCTATTGTTATTAGTCCCTCTAATCCATGGACGCACATTGGAGATCATTTCTGTTTCAAAAAAGATATTCTTCAATTGTATTTTGCTGGAAGGAACAGATGGATTCAAAGCCTCTCTTAGATTATGTGTTAATGGCTTCAGAAATATGCTGAATACAAAGGTCACAGTTACTGATTCTTGATAGTTTCAGACATCTTAAACATTCTAGTGACCTTACCAATTACAAGCAAATCTTAAAAATGAGTTCCTGGATCTGGATTTGTATGACTAAAGGTGAAGTAATAGATCAAAACATTGATGCTATGCTAAAAGAAACCTTTGAGGATGTAAATATGTGGTCTAATGTGATCACTCACAACAACTTTGTGTTGATTTTAAATCACTAGATTGAAACGATACCAGAAAACAACCCCCCCCCCCCCCCCCCACAGCACCTCTACTTCCTCGCTCACCCTTACAGAGTCGTAACAGCAGGAAGAAGAAGGCAGGGTGCATCATGAAACAGGAGAAAGTCAGTCAAAGGTAGCTTAGATGAAACTTGAGAATGTCACTAATCATGCATGTCCTGCACTCTTGTTTCACAGTACCACTGATCCTCAAAGGGAGTTTAATACCCTTTAACTGTGTGAATTAGTTCATAAAGTCCATCCATGTCACCTGTCAGACATGGAAACACACTGGTCCTTCTCTCTGGGAAGTGGAAGTTGTGTGACACACATAGTTTCTGCGCTGTGAAGGCAGCTAATTATAGAATCTGGACCATCCACACACACCAAGGTCGTGCACTGTACACCCACACTGATGCTGTTCCTTCTCACCTGGGAGGATAGAGCTTCTTCTTTGCCTCAGCAGCCAGAGAACCGTTCTCATTCAGGAGCCAACCAGTCGCCACTGTTCCTGCACCCAAACTGGCCAACAGCATGGCGGTGTTGCGACCAGCAACAAGGCGCCTGAAAGTGCTTGACATCTTTCTTCTGGATGGATAACTTGAGTGCCTCAGCAGATAAAGAGCTATGAATCAATGGAATGATAAATACGTTTAGATTGTTTCAGTGGGAATTTGTGCATAAAGAAAGATAAAAGGGCTAAATTAGCACCAAAGAATAATAAGGTCATAAAATCAAGGAACAAGACGGGTTGCCGTTTTAATCCCAAGCAGACATGCCTCTGTTTGACCAACGTGAAAAAGTTCAATTTTGTTAGTTAGAATTTATTAGGATTATTTTATGTTTGTGTTCTCTAATATTCTGTGTTTTTGTATTGTTATTTTTTATTAGTAACATTTTTCTGTTTGCTTTTTGTTTACACTTTTTTTGCTGTACACCAATTCCTTTGTAACTACTCTGCTTTGCTGTCTGTCTTTTTATTTATTTTTGGTTCAAGAATTATTTGTTTATTTATTTAACCATTTTAAGTGTTTGAGCAGATGCTTTTCTTTATCTTCTTGCCTACCATTAACTTGCCCTACAGCACTGAAGTTTAGTAGCTAATCATTATCTGTTCTGGACCTTTTTTCATGTCCATTTCCAGCTGTTTCTAACAATCCCATCGGTCTAATGATTTGGGTTCTTAACACTTTCCAACTCGTAAAAATCTTGTTTTTTCAGATTCATCAAGTTTTCAGTCAGAGCCTTTTTCACTGTAACCCAGAGAGCTACAGAAGATGCTTTCTGCCCTCAGCTATACCCTGTTACAATGATTTTTCCCTTTGAGGTAATAAAGTATTTTTCTATTAAATCTATTGTTGGTAGACTTGAACAGTTTGGATTTATAGTTTATAATTTTTTTAACAAATTAACTATTGAAAAATGTTAAACAGCAAGTCTAAATTGACGTTAAAACATTTTGCCCTTTTATGACTATTAGAATCAATTCAAGACGCTCTACTCCAGTTAAACTGTATGTTATAGCACGAGTAGTGCCACCATGCAGTGTCGATAAATGGCTCCTCTGGGCTGTGCCCCAGTTTAGTAACACTCTTTTCTTTTTCCTCATCTTTGCATTTTGTATTGAATTAGCCTTAGCCAGGGATATCTGTCTAACTACGCTGACTGAAATTTGTTTTGTGTCTAGTTGGTAAATATTAGTGTTCTCTGGGTTAGGGTTTCAACTTTTCTGCATCTAATAGGTTATGTGTAGCTGTTAACTAAAGCTAATCTGGTTCTGTTGTTCAAGTGAGACATTATGGTGACACTTAACAATAAGGGTCCCTCTATTAACATTAATTAGTGCATTATTAAGCATTAACAAACTATTTAAGAAATTTTAACAACTGCTTAACCATATTATGTAATGCATAATGAAGCAACCCCCCCCCCCCCCAACCCTTTGTCCTAAAAATTAACATAACTGGAAACATTAACAAAGGGATCCTTTGTTTTTATTAATGCTTAATAATATACAAAGTAACGTTAATAAAGGGACCCTTATTGTAAATGGTTACCAACATTATTTAAAGTGTTTATTAGCAAAAACAGATAAAAGCTATTTTTGATCAAAATCAGAAAACTTTGTTTTGACTGATATCAAGTAAAGTAAAAAATAAAAATATGCATTTTTTTCAAATAATAAAAACAGAATGAACTTTTCATTTGTTCATAAACCTTCAAGCCTATAAAGATTGCAACCATTAGTTTAAGCTTAGGAAATGTGCACTCTTCGTCATCATTCTTGTTCAGTTAGTCAGTCGAGTGATTTTTATTTGCTACGTTTATGCCGCGCTGTGGCTGTTGGTACTTTTACTGTACAGAGTGAGACTCCATAATCTTTGGCTCAGTGTAACTTTATTTATAGTTCAGCATAGGCTGGTGCCAGAATTCAGTGCCAAGACCAAAAACACTTCTGGCTTGTGAACGCAATGTCACTCTGGACACATCACAAGACTGAACTGATGAGGTCAACAGCGCAACATGAGAGAGTGTAGGAAAATACAGGGGAGGCAGGAAAACCAGAGGAAATCAGTCCATGTGTACTGAAACTGACTCTGTGTGCTGCACTACAGATCTGGGATCAGACTTAAATAGAGTGACCTTAAAACTTGGCGGGACATTAAAAGCTTCAGACTGCCCAGATGATCAACCTTAAAAATATGAGGTTTAACATTTTTGTTCTGCAGCTTCGTTCTAACCATTCAGTATTTCTAGTTTAACTTTGTTACTTATTTCGGTAAAATGATTGAAGCCTATCATATCTGGTTTCAGTAAACCACAATTATTCCAAACATTCAAACTTTTGAAACGTGTGCTCTCAGATAAACCTCACAGTATCAGAGCATGCATATAACATGGAATTAAAATGCATTTTCTTTTTCATTTGTGCTATAAAGCTGACTAAAGCTTTCTGCAGATGAAATGAGAGAAGGTACAGTACCTGCTTGAAAGCTGCTGCCTTCTGACTGAAGGTTGCTGTTCAAAAGCTTTTCAGTCTCCTCTTACATTAGCTCCACCCCCACATTTGAGATGAAAAATTGAGACCAATCATGAATTCACGCACTAAGTTATGAGCCAATGAAGATCTAGAACCCACACTATGGGTCTCATGTCACAGACCACTTTGACCTTGATACATGGTCTCCTTCCAGGGGTGGTTCTAGGATCTGACCTTTAGGGGTGTTTAGCCCCCAGTGAGCAGCTGACTGTTGTTCTCAGCCAGTAAAACAGGGCAGCCATGTTTATACCAGTTCTACGAATGGGCATTTCTACACAGGAACTGGCTCCAAACAGATTTATGATGATCAATGATTTGACATTCACATGCTTTGAGATGAAAATTTCTCTGGGTGCAGTCGCTGATCAATGACCTGGTGAGCTGACTGGTTACCGTAGGGCATGGGTCACCAACATTTGTGAAGGTGAGAGCTGATCACCTTGAGCCATATGAAGGGCTGTCAGGTCAATACACAAAGCTGTCATGTGTACAATACTGACCTTTGAGAATAGATTTGAGTCTATTTACCAGAGGTGTGATCAAGTCACTGCTTTGCAAGTCACAAGTAAGTCACAAGTCTTTCCAGTCAAGTCTTGAGTCAAGTCCAAGTCAAAGACAACCAAGTCCAAGTCGAGTCCAAAGTCAATGATGTGGAAATCCAAGTCAAGTCAGAGTCCTTAACTTTTAATTTTCAAGTCATAATCAAGTCATCTGTCAACCCTGTGAACTCTCATAGAGGTATAACAAATGAACTGTAGTCGGTGTGAAAGCCTCATCTGTTCTGCTTTTGGTGTGACTTAACTCTCACTAATGAGACAGGGTCTGAGTGGCGTCCTGCTCAGTGGACTGACACATAATAAAGAAATTCATTGTTAACAGAATTCCTCCATCTTGACGGCATGGATCGTTTTTCCATTAACAATGCACACACACACACACACACACACACACACACACACGCACGCACGCACGCACGCACGCACGCACGCACACACACACACACACCCAGTTGAATTTCAAGTGGAGAGCTGTTACACTGGTTTATGGATTTTTCATGATTTTATTTTCATTTCTTGGAGCGAATCGCTGGTTGTTGTTCTGAACTCAGTTAATGAAACTGGCTTCACTTTAAAATTCAGTCAATCATGCATAAATATTCTTTCCATGACAACTAATTACTGCAACGTTTGACTTTTTTCCCAAAAATTTATTTCAAGCCTAGAGTATAAATATTTGTAGAACACATTTAAAACCGCTGGAAAAACACAGTAGTACAGTGTTTTAAAGTTACAGCGTTGAAAAGCACAACTCTTAAAACACTAATGCTGACATGCTTTAAAAGACTTCAGACAGGAATGGGGCAAACAAAACCAAATCTAAAATAAATTAATAAATAAACCTCATTAGCAGTCACACACAAGGATCATTTGTCATCTTTGCCGAGTTCATCCTGTAAACAACTTTAAAGTCTATTAATATTCCCTATAAATACATTAATTGTGCAAATATATCACCACAGAAATGTACTAATACATTATTAGGGTTTCAAATATGATTAAAGTATTACACTAATGACTAATAACACTGAGAATAAAGTCAAAGAAATGTAGTAAACATTTTTTAGCTGGCAAGAAACATGCCTCAGTTAAAAATTATTCATTTCTGTACAAAAAGATGATTATTGAAAACTGAAAAACCATGGATTGATTGTCAAGCAGTATAAGAAAAACCTAAATCTGTAAAATATTTCATTGTTTGGAAAAAGTCTATAAGATTTCCTTCTTGTAACATGCAAATGAGCTACAACAGTAAATGATTAGTAGATGTAAAAACATTAAGGAGATGCCGGAACTAGTCAGCTAGCTGAAGGAGCGTTTTGAGTCAGTTAGTATTAAAGGTAAATAACAAACATGAATTATACTGCAGGCGGTAGGAATTAGGGTCAGACCCCTGCTCTGGCTCTAACATTTTGTTTGAGAGTGCACACAAAAGGACAAATAAACCAAAAGGCATGCCAAGAAATATGGTCAGGTTCTGAGTATCAAACGCTTTGGCAACACTGATGTAAGAGCTTCAATAGCTGACACTGCAGAAACATGTTCCTAAAGACTCTAACAGTATTTATCCAAAATAAAATACCCTAAAACTATGAAATAAGTCTGCATTATGTAATAAAGCAAACTGATGTTAGATTTGAACAATAAAACAGGTTAACTGAAATGATCCTGACTGTGCAAAATGTTACTGTTTGTCAGACATGTTCCCTGAATAATGAATTTGGATGCAATATCTCAGAAACACAAATGGTGATTTAGCAACACCAACACCAGCTAACCCTAACCCTAGCACAAATGGGAAGGTCTACACAGTTTTATGGTCTGAAGAGATTTTTTTCCACAAAAACTAAACCTGCAAGCAGCAGTATATGACCCTTGACCCTTAGTGGCGCTCTAGTCCCTGTTGCACCACCACCCAAGCATGGACTCTTGTTGTATGATGCCAATCTTGACCAAGTTCTTTGCCAATATTTCTAGAAGTTTGAAAACAAATATGATACGTGTAAAAGGAACTGAAATGGTGGATCCACTGTTGGATTTTGGCCACGCACCTACGATTCTTTTTCCTCAGATCTTAGGCTGAAAAAGCATGAGCACGAGCTTTCATATCTACATGTAAATAAATTCTCTGTTGAATTTAGCCCTTTGTAAAATTCATTCAAAATAATACTGAGATAATTTTGCTGACCCCTGGTAGGACTGCTTGTACAGCCCCCGAGGTTGACCTCTCTTCACTAGCCCGTTGTGTGATGACGGTAGTCACAAACCTAGGGGTTTAACTTGAGGCTGCTCTCGAGTTTGACACTCAAATGCTGCTTTTTTCACCTCTGACGGACCGCTAGGTTTAAGCCAATGCTGTCGAGGGTCCATTTCAAAACTATTTAGCATTGTCATGCCTTGTAATGCAGTGTATGCTGGTGTGAGCTGAGTTGCACTTGTCCAGAACTCAGTGGCGAGATTCTTGTCTGGTACCAGGAGAAGGGAGCACATCAGTCCTGTATTGGCCCAACTTCACTGGCTCCCAGTTGAGTATGGGGTTAGGTTTAAAACCCTGCTGTGTAAGGCACTACAGGGCACTGCCCCCAACTATCTCTTCTCACTGCTCTATAGATACACTCCCTCAAGGGCCTTGCGTTCCCTAGAGAGGGAACTCTTGGAAGTGCCGCACTCTAGATACAAATCTAGGGGTGATCGTGTATTCTCTGTGGTGGCCCCAAGCCTATAGAACGCCTTGTCTTTGCTTGATTTTTTTAATTGTGATAGTGTACAGCACCGTGGGCTACTACAAAGGTGCTATAGAAATAAACGATGATGAAAAAACGTGCACTACCTTTCATATCTACATGTCTCTGTTGAATTTAGTCCTTTGTAAAATTCCGTCAAAATAAGTTTTCATCACTTTTGATCATGTTAGCAGATTTTCAGGACCTTTGAGCACCCTTAGCTCTTCACAATCCAATCCATTCATCTAAGAGACGGAACATTAAAGCACGAAAAATATAGTACTTGGCTTTCAACTGACTTTTGGCGCTTGGGTCTGATTATCAAAATTTAACTCAGTCTTTGCTCATATTTTGTTAAACTGTAGTCTTCCTCCTCTAGCAGTGAAGCTAAATCATGACACATCTCTAACTTCAAGCTTCAAGTCATAAACTCCAACATTTTACTTCCTGCTGCTATGGTAACTGTAACTTTAATACAACGTTCTTTGAATTATTCCAAATTGTAGCTTCAGATTTTCTCCGTACCATGTGAAACAACTTTAGGCCAACTTCTGGGTCACCACAGAGCCAACCTGGGTCCTTGTGGTGCTTAGCATACAAACGATGCACAGAGAACAAGTGAAATGAATCAGCTGGGGCTCCAAAACCAGATGTAAATAAATATGTAAAAAAGTAATTCAGTCAACATTTATGTGCAGTACTAGAGGCAGTTCCTTGCAGTGTGATAGCAGCAACGTTGTAGCGCCATGCTGATATCTCTGCGTTCATGTGGCATAGAGTTATGTTGCAGATCTTCAGAAAACAAGGCACATCATGTCCTGAGGTTGCTACGCACATCAACCATCTGTTAATTTTGGAACAATTCCTGCTTCACGGGAACTGCATGAGCTGATTTCAGATGTGTATACGTTTCGTATGAAATTAGCCAGGTGGAACTCGTGGCTCGATCTTTAGCGAGAGCTCATAGAGGGTATCTTCATCCATCACTAACGTTTTATCCATCAGGAACTGAGTCACCTGGAACAAAGACATCTAATCATTCCTAATTCTCAAAGAGAATGATGATGGATTCAAAGGCATCTTCTTGGCCAAACCTTGGGTTGGTGCTCTATCCGGTAAGGAGCTTGCTGGAACTGACGGATCTCCCGGATGATGTGAGATATCTGTCAGAGCAAAGACAGAGTTTAGGCTGATTTAGCTGACGTTTCATTTGGATATTCACCGTGGTTTCTGATTGTGCCTTTATGGCTATTTTTCCTCTCTGAACTTAAGAACTGCAGAGTCAAGAATGTAAATGAAAATTATTTTATTTACTTTAACATTGAAGTATGTGGCAGTATCAGGCTAAGGCACGGTTTCACCCAAGACTTATTCTGGTTTTGGGGCACCCTTCGTTAAATTCAACATGGTCGATGTCCAGTGCAATTAAAATAAAAGGCAGAAGATTTAGCCTCAGTCAGTAATATCAGCCCAGTTCAGATTATTATTCTAAAACACAAAATACCATTTTTTTCATAACACATTTCCTCCAGAACCTGCTTGCATGTCTGGTACCTTTGTTCATGTGATGCCATAGATTGTTTATGGTAAATTGTTCCAGCCACTAGAGGTCCCCATTGTCCTTGGTTTGTATTATACTTGCACTTGAATCTGGTTTTGACATTTTGAACCCATTGGCATATTTAATAATACACTCACTGGCCACTTTATTGGGTATACCTGTCCAAATGCCCGTTAACGCTAAACAATCAGCCAATGACATGGTGGCAACTCAATGCATGTAGGCATGTTGACATGTCCTTGATCTGGTTCTTTCAGCCATGATCCAAGTGAGGGTTAAAGCATAGACAGACCCATACATCCAAAGCGTTTCCTGTCTGCCCTCAGTCTCCCTGCTACTGCAGACAAAGCCTCGATATGTGGAGCAGAAGGATTGTGACTTTGGAACACATGTAGGGACATTCTACACCCAGTGGGCCATTTTAACTTTTTAATGAAATTGACAAATTCTAAAACGATTATATTGTTTTTTTGTTTTATAATGACACTTTTTTTCACTTCAGCCTGGTTACACTTGAAGGGAAGTTTATTTATTTATTTTTTTTTACCATTCTCATCTTGGAGAAGTTAACTAGACCTTCCTCTGTGAAGTTAGGTGTCCCCTCCTCGATGAAGGCCAGGTCAGTGAGGTACATGCCCAGATATGGGACACATGGAGGGTTGCAGCTGAACACAAAGAGACATAAATTCAACAGCTTGTACAATTTTACTTATCTGTTCATCGCTTTGATTTTATGTCTTTACTTTTTAAGCGTCTCCCGGAGATTCTTGAACCTTCCCTCTGATGACACAATCTTCTGTAGTCTGTCCATCAGTGCCTTAGTCTGAAAACAGAAGAGCTGGATGATTTTATCCACAGAGGAAGTGTTTTATGTCCCACTGGTTCAGTGAGAGGATTTGAACCTGTTTGCAGACTTTAGTCCAGGTCTTTTTTAGCCTGAAGATGGCGCTGCGGTTGAGGGCGGAGGTGATCTCCAGAACTCCGTTGTAGTTATTGAGGCAGCGACAGATGTCGGCCACTGCTAGCCATTTCTCTATGGAGCCGGCCCTGGAGCCCACATCCATGTGGGACATAATCTGAGATGCCACCAAGTTACTCATCTATGGACGGAGAAAGACATGTGAACAAAAACATGACATTGATTATTCTGTCTCCAGCAGTCATAGGGCAGGAGGCAGGGCACACTCAGGACAGTTAATCAGTCAAACACTCACACACACACACCTAGGGTCAATTCAGAGTCTCCATTTAACCTGACATGCATGTTCTTGGTCTGTACCTGGAGAAACCCACATGCATGGGGAGAACATGCTAACTCCTCATAGAAAGGAAGATCTGTCAGGATCTGAACCAGTGACCTTCATGCTGCAAGGAAACAGTGGTACCAGCTGTGCCATTATGCAGCCCCCATGATTGCTGCACCTACTATTTGTTGTTTAATATATTTTTTACAAGTTTTTACTTGTAAAGTAAAAAAACTTTACAAATCTCAAGTTTTTACAACAGATAAACATTTAACATAATATGATGAGCAGATAAAATCTGGTACGCTTTGGCTTTCCTTACATCAAATCCAAAAATATTTTCATTTTAGACTGTGTGTGTAAGAGACGTGGAGCATCAGCGTGAAGCATCACGAGTATCCGTGACTGTTAGAGGAAAGTTAAGTTGAGAAAGTCCACTCTAAAATCTAGTGCCAACACTATTTCTTAGCCCATTTCTACAAGGACTATGATATATAATAATATTCCTACACAGGGCAGCCGACAGCGTTCCCAGGACATGATTGTATTAATACCAGCAGTTTGATACCATTCCAGCCTCTCCGTCAGAGGGCAAGGGGGTTGCTGTCTGATGGACTCCTGGATGGCAAATCTACCAGTGAGGGAGTGTGGGTGGATGGTGGGTTGCCTAACAGACACATTGACAGGGAACCGGTGGGTGTTTGGGGGTGGGGGTGGGGGGTGGGGGGACTGCAACGTTCTGGCATGGAACAGACCGACTGTTTGGCAAAAGTCCCAATAGTCAGCCTGTCCTTTGCTCTTCTGCCCAACCCCTCCACCCTGGGTGTGGAACAACAGACCCATTTGTACCCCCATTTTGGGGTAAAAATAACCATGATAATAAATGAATGCTGAGGAATGTAAAAAAGGCTAAGTATAAAGGTTAGACAGTACTCCGTCCACACCGTTGGTGGGGAACAGATATCAGACACAAGTTCTACTGCCGTCCACTAAACATGAAGAATGAGCCATGACAGAAGAAACAGCCTGTGTGAGTGTCTCACTCAGTGTAATAGATTTTTTATGTATTAAACTGACAAACAGATGAGATGCAGTACAAGATCACAAAAACTTATTTCCATTCTCACATCATTGAAATGCTGACTGGTCTTCATGATGTACGGTGTTCTCTCACTTTTGTCCATCTTCATCCAGCCCTGACCCAGGAACTCCCTGCAGAACGAGAACTACAAACCGTCAGATGTTCTGCTGGTTCTGCTCACACCATCACATGATCATGGGGCGATAGCTTTAGGGTTAACAAGACAACTTTTCCATGGTGTACTCACTCGTAGGGAATACTCCTGAATACAATGTAATCCAGCAGTGTGATCTGTTCTGCCATCTCCATGGCTGAGAGAGCCTCAAAACACTCTGCTTTAGGACTCTCCGCCTTGAAACACACACACACACACACACACACACACACACACACACACACACACACACACACACGCACACGCACACGCACACGCACACGCACGCACACACACACACACACACGCACACGCACATGCGCACGCACGCACACACACGCACACGCACAAGCATTAGCTGTGTGAGTAGACACTATTGTATCACAGAGAACAAACGGCTCCACGTGAGGTAAATAACGCCGACTGAAGGATGACAGAACAATAACTACAGCTGGTCTGGGTCACCAGAGAACAGGAGGAGGAGGGGATTCTTCATCACACCAAAGGTTTTCTTACCACAATGAAGTGTAGAAGGGGGCAGCTTTTCTGTTCCATAACCAGAAGATAAATCACCTCAAACTTTATGTTTATTTCACATCATTTGGGCCTAATATGTGTGGTAATACTGACCATCTGTAGGATGTCCTCGATCCTCAGCTGAGCATCATCTTGTTCCTCCTGAGAGAGAGCACTGGAGCACAACAACAGAACATTATGACGACACGGTGGCCCACCAGGAACCAGAAGGAGCTCATGGATGTTTCAGCACTCTGTACCTGAGAATGTTGGTTGCTGCTTTTCTCTCTTGGGGCAGCAGATCAGGGTCTCGCAGCACCTCCTCTAGGAGGTTTATTACCCCCATCTTCAGTTCACTATTCATCTCAAAGTCCTGGTGAAAAAACAGTTTTACACAATTACTGTCTGTGTGAGAGGCTACAATAAGGTCTAAGTCTACTGCATGATCCAGTAGCACGTCCTTTAGCTACATTAACTTTTGTAAATTGGATCATTGCAGTGCTCAGTGTCCTGATTCTGTTTCATGGGGTGAGTTTTCTGGAAGACGTCATGTGGGATCTGTCCCCCCCCCCCCCCCCCCCCCCCACACACACACACATGCTCACAAAGACAAACATAAAAATATGTATAGTGCATGGTTGTATATGCAGGCTTAAATTTTTTTTATAGAGAACTTGTCTCCAACATTTTGACAACATCTCATTAATGAACTAATATTCAACAAAAGTATTATCATCATACGATTTCTTTAGTACCAACAGTACTGAAAGTGAGATGTTTGCTGCTACAAAGTGAGTGACACTTCTGATCACCTCTGTCAGTGCGCCCCAGGACAGCTGTGGCTACAATGTAGCTCATCATCACTAGTGTGTGAATGGATGAATGATACAGTGTAGTGTAAAGAGCTTTGGAGTCCTCTGACTCTGAAAGGCGGTATACAAGTGTGGGTCATTTATCATTCATCAGGATCAAAACAGGATTGATATGAATCTCGGCTCAGTGTATCCTCATACACTCATTAGTGATTGCAGCAAACATGGAATTCAGTTTTCAGACAACAATGAATGAACAAAAATAGCAACTTATATAATGCTAAATGAACATGATAGTTGTCTTGGGCTCCCCGGGGATGAGGGTGACCTTTCTGAATGCTTCATGGGTGGGAGGAAAGACGCAGAGCAAAGAGCACCCCTGTCAGCGAGACGAACAGCAAGATGCAACTGAATCAGAAGCTTCTTAAGGTGAGCTCTGCAGTGGGGCACTCTCTCCAGACTTCAGATGTAAACTCTCTGATCATCATGAGTAATAAATCAACAAACATGTCCAAACCAGCACAGTCCAATGTGAAAAATTACTTTTATCCAAAACCTCATAACTGGTTATAAAACTTTGAAGAAAACAACCACAATGACTTGTAATAAATGGCAACAGTCTCTGACATCCCCTTGGAGGAAATTAGTTTCACTCTTCTTAACATAATTGTTTTAATGTTGGACGTTTATTTCTGACATGAACGACCTGTTTAAAGTCAAATGTTAGACATGATGACTTCTGTCACATTTAGTTTAACCGTACTGGTTTAAAATCAGAAACCAGATAAAAGAAATCTGCCACTACCTTAATGGAAGTGTGGACTTACCTGGGAGTGTTTAGACACCCAGTGTCGCAGCACATTGAGGACTCTGTTGGTCGCCGCTCTGCGAATGATGAATTCTTTGTCACAAGATTTCTCAGAGTTATTAAAGCCTAAGAGGAAATAAAAGAGTCCAAATAAGGTCAGGAGACATTCTGCCCCGGGGGTAGATGGGGGTGAGGTGTGTGTGTGTGTGTGTGTGTGCGTGTGTGTGTGTGTGGGGGGGGGGGGGGGACATTTAGACTGATAAGACCACAAAAATATTTAGAAATTATGATTCAAGAGTCATTCTTTTGGTTTTTAACAGCCTGATTTCAAAGTCAAAATGATCATTAGTTAACTTTAACAATGTTAAATTTAAAGTTAAAAGTTCCATTAGTCATCACTCACTGCTCACAAGCCTCCACAAGACACAGAGGCGCACTCAGGAGCTTTTTGGTGGTTTAAACCCCAACTGAACTTCTTAATAATGAGTGGGAAAGTGGGAAAGTATTGGTTCCCATTTTTAAGGTCTTTGGTATGACCCGAATGTGGATTTGAACCCACGATCTCTCCCAGTCTCAGGGCAGACACTCATAGGCCTACTACTAGGCCGCTGAGTTGGTAGTAAAACCAAAACATTCCTGCTCAGGGCCCAAATGTTTTTTTAATGAAGGACTACTATTATTTTTTACTTGTAGGAAACATTTATTTGAATCAATAAGTAAAGTTACACATTCATTATTAAATGTAAATATGGGAGTTTTGACACTAAATATTTAGTTAAAAATGATAATAATCTAATGATTCTGATCATTTAGCTAGCACTCATATTTAGACCTCTATGAAATCGGTCTCTAGGTCCGTTTAATATAATATGTAAGTTTGTTGAGTCATGGTTCATCTATCAGTCTTATGGTCTGTGTTTTCCCCGCATTAATGAACCAACATTAGACATGGGAGGTCTCTTCCCATATTCCTTACGCTGTTCTTTACTAAATGACCAAAAACACCTACATTCATCAAAACACTACCAACTAACGCAAGTATAAATATAATACAGAAGGAAAAGGTTCCACCCTCCCTCTTTAAGGTCAGGCCTTTTCCACACAGAAGGATCTGTTTGTCCTGTCATCCTCACCACAGATTATCTGATTCTGCCATGCCTTTAAGCAACCATTTAACAGCAATTTAACCAACATCAGAGCTGGCGTGTGTTCTGATCTATGTGACTGGACCAGCTCACCCTGTGAGCTGCTGTGCCCGGCAGCAGCCGTGGCGATGGCGAACGCTGACGCAGGTGACATGTTGCAGCGCGAGTTCTCTGCTGACGTAACTGTAACGAACCAGAGACACAAACCATTAACCTGCTGTTGTGTAGTGTGTGTGTGTGTGTGTGTGTGTGTGTGTGTGTATTTGTACAGTTGGTACCTCCCGACTGTCGATATCGTAGGTGCCTTGGTGTGGACGGAGAGCGGCAGGGAGACAAGTCACCTGGCTCGCTGCTGGAAGGTGATTCAGGTATAAACTTGTCCAGAGATACTGACTCCAGAACAGCTGTGAGGATGGAAAGGTCACAACTCAAACACATCCTCAGGGAGTTAGCGGTTACTCACATTATAGTCAGAAAACAAAACAGAGGTCTTAGAACAAGATCTGCATTTCTTGTGAAGTACATACATGTTCAGGGGAACTACAAGCCACTGTGAGCTTCTCCGAGGTGAAAATAAAGCAATAACTACTAGGAAAATTCAAGCTGCAAGCAGCGTCATTTGGCCCTCGCATCGAAGCTGCTCGCCCTCCGTCCGCACCCCCTCCACTCCATCCCCGATGCTCTCCCAACCCACCGCCCTGCAACCGGTGGCACACGAGCGCCCATGCACGCCAGACACCCCAACATGCATTAAATTGCAATCACTATGAGCTGTCACCTCAATCTGACTCAGCCTTTCCTCCTAGCCTGCCAACAGTTCCCACTAAAAATGTTTTACATTAGCAAAATATTCCAGTTTCGAAAGAGACTCTGTGGCGTAATTGGAACAAAATGGCCAACTTCCTGTGGGGTATAGAGCATGGCTTCATGAGACTTCTTTGCAGGCCCAGACACACTATGTAAGTGTGCAAAATTTCACAATCGTCAGTCAATGCATGACTTGAGGCTGAGATTTTTAATGGACCTAGGGGGCGCTAGTGCAAAAACTAAGCCACGCCCACCAGATTTTCAGATTAATATCTAATGAGGTTTGGATTTGTATGAATCACCTGAATTGTTGTACCGATAACATCAGAATTGAGGAAATGAGAGGCAAACGTAATTCTATGGTGTGATGTCAAAATTCGTCATGCCCCCAAACCGCTGCTGTTTTTTTAAACCTGCCAGTACTAGATACCAAGCAACCCCAACATGTCTACTGCTGTTTGCCAGAGATTCTTGTTGATTAGGTCAAAGTAGTAAATTTGGGAGCTTTGAGAGTAAAGCATGGTGTTGTGACAGGTCAGTGTTTGAGGCTTAGCCACGCCCACATAATTAGACTTTTGGAAAATCCGTAGGTTCAGTTTTTCCCGCTTTGTCTTAAGAGTTTTCAGCAGAAGTATATAGGTGACAGGTGAAAAGGGTTTTGTGGAGTTGACAGACCTTTACCTTGTTCAACAATTACAAAAAGCTGTATTTGGACCAAAATGGCCGACTTCCTGTGGGATATGAAGCATGGCTCCAAGACCTTTTTTGTAGGTCCTAAGACATTACATAAGTGTACAACATTTCACAATCCTCATGGCTTGTGGCTGGCACTTTTAATGGACCTAGGGGGTGCTATCTCAAAAAATAAGCCCCACCTACCAGATTTTCAAGTTAATATCTATTGAGGTTTGGATTTGTATCAAGCACCTGAAATTTTGTACTGATAACATCATAATTGTAGGAATGAGAGGCAACCGTAATTCCATGGCGTTCTGTCAAATTTCGCCATACCCCCAAAGCCTCGCCCTTTTTTGAAACCTGCCAGTACTGGACACCAAGCGACCCCAACATGTCTATCGGTATTTGCCAGAGATTCATGTTGATTAGGTTAAAGGAATAAATTTGGGATCTTTGAGAGTAAAGCATGGAGTGGTGACACATCAATGTTTGAGGCCTAGCCACGCCCACACCAATAGACTTGAAAAATCCGTAGGTTCAGTTTTTCTGGCTATGTCTTAAGAATATTCAGCAGAAGTTTAAATGTGATGGGGGGGAAAGGGCACTTGAGGATTGGTGTACCTTTAACGGGCAAAAAGCACAAAACGTACTTGGACAAAAATAGCTGACTTCCTGTGGGATATGGAGCATGGCTTCAAGAGTTTTTTGTAGGTCCTAAGACACTAAATAAGTGTACAAAATTTCACAATCCTCAGTCAAAGCATGGCTTGGGGCTGGCACTTATAATGGTGCTAGGGGGCGCTATTTCTAATAATTGGTCATGCCTACCGACTTTTGATGTCAAGTTTTATTGCGGATCATACTAGGATCACTCACCAGAAATTTCATGGCGATAGCTTTAGAATTGACAAAATGAGAGGCAATCGTATCTTCATGGCGTTACGCCTGACTTCGCGCGCCATCACAGCTATTCCGTTTCCTCTGGAAATGTGGGTTTCTGATTCCAGTCGAAGTGTTTTGGGTAAAATACTCGAGGGGAGGGGTGAATGTTCTGTGTCTGTGTTTACGCTCAAAACCGAGCTTGTTCTGTAGATTTGCTATAGCAGCTTTAAGTGACAGTGTGATGCAGATCGCTCAGGCTTTTCTGAATCTGTCTTAATGTAGGAAATAAGAAGACTATTTTCATGTTCAACCTGCATGTTAATCTCATTGTTTAAAAAGAAAGTGAAATAGTTTCTCTGTGAACCTGCTCTATAATAGAAAGTTGAACTTTAAGGATTCATATTTAGAATATAAAATAATCCCAATCGACACATTCTGAATGTCTTTCAAGGAATTTGTAAAGACTAAAAATACCTCCAGTAGCTAGCCAACTCACGTCTGGGTGGTTAGGTAACAGAATATACGTACAGGTGTGAACGATACAAGAGTTCAGAACACTTCAATCATCCAGAGAACCATGTAAAATTTCAGGTTTTTCTCTTTCATTGTAAAGCGAGAAATACAAATTATAATTTCAGCAGTGATCTAAGAGTTCAGTCTGTCTACCTCTGTGTGTTAGCACGTCTGCATCCCAGCAGGCTTGTGTAGTTCTGAATTTGTGAGTCAGAAGCTGCTATTTTTGGGTAGAATTGGAGGACTCTCGATTTCACTCATGTCACAGTTATTTTCCTCTTTGGAGGCTCTCTAGCTGCCACATAAGAGCCCCCGTTTCTCTCTTTGTGTTCTTTCTCTTCTCTCCATTTTGCTGTCAGCGATTTTCTAACCTGTTGTCCTGCTGGAGCTTTCACAGTGAAGCAGCTGTGTGCTGCAGCCAGAGGTGGATCTAAAAGCTCTGCTCTGCTCTGTGTTGAGAAACGGTGTGTCATGTTCTGTGTCCCCTTGGTCCCAGCCCCCTCCTGTTCTCCCTCAGGTTCTCCTCATGTGTCTTCTTGTGTTTCCCAGCTCCCTCTAGGCTTTCCTCGTGTTTTCCTCCTAGTCACTCCCATGTATTCCCATTTGTTTGCATTAGTCCTCCTCACCCCTCTAGTTATTAGTTGTTTATTTCTGCACTTAGTTCTAAGTTTAGTTATTTAGTGTCTTATAGGTTATGCTTGGTTTTCCATTCCCATTTAGTTAATTGATTTCACCTGTCCTCCCTCTAGGCCTCACTCCTCACACCTGTTCCCCTGATTGCTTTCCTCTGTGTTAAAAGCCTGTCTTGTCCTTCAGTGTTTGTTGGGTCATTGTCGTATGTGTTGCGTTGGTCGTTCCCCTCTCGAGTTTTCTCTGAGTCTGTGCTCATTTGTGAGCTTTTGTTTGGTTTTGAACATTCGGTGATTTTTTTGAGATTTAATCTTATTTTTTGAGCTTTGGATTTTGGCACATCCTCCTTTAATAAAGGAATTATTTTCATTAAACTACTCCTGCCTTGAGTCGTTCTGGTGTTCTGCGTTTTTGGGTTCAACCTCCTACATTGAGGCCCTGTCCACACGTAGCCGGGGATTTGCCAAAACGTAGATATTTTTCTACGTTTTGGCCTGTCATCCACACGAAAACGGAGTTTTTTTCACACGAAAACGGATCTTTTTAAAAACTTCGGCCAAAGTGAAGATCTGCGTTTTCTCCATTTTGGGTGTCTGCGTGTGGACGGACAAAACCGGAGTTTTAAGGTCCGCAACGTCACTTTCCGCGACAAAAAATGCTGACATCACGTGTGCGACCTGTGTTTACACTAGCCGGCATCATGGAAGCCTTCAGAGCTGCGCTCTGTCACTACCCGATCCATCAATTGTCCAAGCTCTTTTTGCTTGTTTGTTTTTGCAAGCGGAATTACTGCTCCTTGCGGAAGACCACAGACGAAGGACGAGGTTAAGAACGGGGGAAGTACTGCCGCCTACAGGTCTGGCATGTCCTTAACAACGTATTTATCCGGGTACGTGTGGACAGAGTTTGTTTTTAAAACGCGGTGGTGTGGATGCAAGTTTTTGGAGGGGTGGATATTAGTTTTTTAAAAACCCCGGCTACGTGTGGACTAGGCCTCAACGTGACATGGTGACCTAATTATGTCTTTCAGACAGTTTGAGTTGGTAAAACACAATCTGAAATAAGTGTGTGTCTGGGGCAATTTTGGAAGAGAATAAATGATGTCAGCCTCTTTGAAGCAGCTTGTTGTGATTAGTGGTGATTTAATAACTCTGACCACAGATGGGCTGAAACAGGAAAGCAGGAAACCCAAAGGGTTCAAATGAAGGCAACTGGACTTCATTGGTTTGGAGATGTTTTGCTTCTCATCCGAGGAGCTTTTTCCATTCTAACGCAACAAGTCTTAATGACAACAACTCTTCAGGTGGTAGGGAGGAGGGGTATGTATAGGTAGTTTCTGCTCATTAAGTAACAAAAGCTCCCGTTTTAAACACGATTCTCCCATATTCCAGTCAGAATTGACAAAGCTCCTCGGATGAGAAGCAACACGTCTTCAGAAAACCAAATAAGTCCAGTTGCCTTTTTTGAAACCTTTGGATTACCATGACCTGGATGACTGAGAAACTTCTCTAGCAAGACAGCAGGAAGAGAATCATGTGCTTCTCCTGATACTCACCCCTCCGAAAGCTACGCCTCAGCTTCCCACAGAATGCGTCAATGCGAGGCAGGTCTCCACTGATGTCCTCTCCTGCTGCTGGACTCAGCTCTGGAGAACTGGGGCCACGGCTGAGGTCTAGCGGGGCCTTGGTGCAGACTGGAGGTAGCGAGGATGCCCCGAAGGTCTGTGGAAGACCGGGAGAGGATGTGGCAGTGGGTGGAGGGGAGGAGAAGCCAGACGGCAACCTGGATGAGCATGGAGGAGGGGAGGAGATTGAAGGACTGTGGCTGGAGGTGGGTGAGTTGGCTGCTGACGAGGAGGGAGTTGTCGACAGATCTAGAACTCCCACTTTCACGCTGATGGGGGAGCTAAGGGAGAGCTTGCGGCAGTGCACGGGAGAAGAGGTGCGAGGGGGGATGGAGATTGGAGGAGGGGAGGAAAACTTGCGACAAAGCCTTGGAGATTTGTTGTTCAGAGGGTCAGTTCCCCAGGCACCCTGACTGGTGGCAAAGAAGAGTTCCAGAGACCTGAAGAAAAACACAAACCAGCAGAATAGATCTGCAGCCCTGATGAGAACAGGACTAATAAATCACCAGTCCTACTGATGGTATTTACTTGGACTGGTCCAGAGCAAGCTGTGTGATCTTCAGACTGTAGTCAGGACACAAGGACATGATGGACAGACGGTCACATGAGTGCTGCTCAATCCTGAGGCAGTGACAGGAACGTGAGGAAGATGAATAAATAATATTTAAAAAAAAAGAATAGGGAGGTATGAGGTAGGGCTGCTCAATTAATCAAATTTTAATCCCAATTACGATCTGAGTTTTGAACTATTTTAAAAACAAAACAAGCCGATTATTTGCTCCTCCCACTTGCGCTGCCCTGAGTTGCAAATGAAGTGCTCCTCCCACAGTGTTGCCAACTTATCGACTTTGACGCTATTTCTAACAGCTTTTGTGAGTGACACACACACCGCACCTGCGGGCTCCTGAGTCGCTAAAAACAGCTAAATGTGTGCGTGCTAAACACACGTACAGCCTGCCCATGATTGCTGTGAAACCGGGGTGGGGGGTGCAGCTGTGGTTGGGACAAGTATTACATTAACTGATGGACCTGTAAATAAATAGTTTATAAATAAGGTAGAAATAGATAGAAATAAGTTCCTCATGCTGATAAATAATAACTAATCTCTATGAGGACACGGTGCTGCACTCTCCTACAGCACCTTGACATGACTAAATAAATGTTATACAACATTTTATGAACATCAATTTATTTGCATTCATTTGTTATAAATGCCACTGTATAATTCTTGATGTCAGTATTTGCAAGATATTGGTATTTGGGTCTGTACTGGTTAGACTTAAATGAGTTAAACCAAGGTCTATAGCCCTAGGGTCATAGACTATGAGCTATAAGTATATTGGTCTTTTTATACTGGGAATCAGGTGTTATTTTAGTGATCATCTTGTTTCTCATTTAATTTAAAAAAAGTTAAAGTTAAAGTCCCATTGTCACACACACTGATGTGTGTGCGAAATTTGTTCACCGCATCTGACCCATCCCCTGGGGGAGCAGTGAGCTGCAGACACGGCTGCGCTCGGGAACCATTTGGTGGTTTAACCCCCCAATCCAATCCTTAATGCTGAGTGCCAAGCAGGGAGGCATTGGGTCCCATTTTATCAAAGTCTTTGGTATGACCCGACCAGGAATCGAACCCTGATCTCCCAGTCTCAGGGCAGACACTCTACCACTAGGCCACTGAGCTGATACAATTTTGTCCTGATTGTGCCCTGAGCAATTTTATGACAGAATAAAAACAATTAAAATCAACATAAATTGAAAAATTGTCTTAAATAATCTAGATCTCAATTTCAGTCACAATAATCCTGATTATTGTTTTTGCCATAATCGAGCAGCCCTAGTATGAGGTGCCAATTTAATGTTAAAACATTGAAATAGTAACGTTTCTATCGTAGCGTTAATGACTAAAGTCTACACTAAATATCTAACTATTAAAATTACTTCTCAATATGTAAATCAAATTAAACTTAAACTCTACCTAAACCCCAAATATTTAGGGAAACCTGTATATGTAAGTTTAAACATTTAGAATAAAATCTGAATATTTAAAATTAGAACTAAATTGTTAGAACTAAACATCTATATAAGGTTAAATCTAATATTGAAGTTTAATATTATAATTTGATATTGAAGTTTAAATATAAAAGTCAGTGTTTAACTAAATAGTTATTTAACATGCAAATTCAAATAGGAGTAAAATGAACTTAATGAACAAAACAAAAACGTTGGAGTAAGGCGATCTCCTATCCAACATCTCCGACTCCATTTGATGTAAGATTGGTGAATATATTTAACTCATTTTCATTTTAACTCTCAATGTACAGCGAGTAACCAGACAGGAACGCTGATAAATACTCAATGGTGAACAGGACTGCATCATCTTATCATCAAAAGGAGTCTGACATGTTAGTTGGGAGATCTCCTCACACCGCTTTTATTTAGGTTGACCACATTGTTGTCTGTCTGAATTAGATTTTTATCAAAATATTTAGTTTAAAAGCCACTTTTACATTTAGATTTGAACCTTTAGATGTAACTCAAAATGTAGACCTGATTTGAAATATTTAAGTTTTTTATACTTTGATTTGATTCAATCAGACATAATAATGGAAATTCTAAAAAGTCTTGAAAAAGTGAAAACTGAGTGAAATTTACCCATTTTTTATTGTTAGGAGAAGCTAAAAATGGAAAGTGTAGCTGTTCATTTTTTTACAATACTGTTTTACAATTGGCTCCCCATAGAGAAGGACGGCATGAACTGTTAAATGTGAGGAGGGTAAAAAACGATGACAATGGATGAAGATGAGGATGTTTGCAGGTTCAGGAGCATCTACAAACCTCACAGGGATGGAAGTGAACGGCTTCTTATAGATGTCAACCAGCTTGTCGATGACCACGGCTGCGGTAGTGAAGATCCTGTAGGTGTGGAGGAAAGTGTTGAGGAAGTCTATGGAGAGGAAGCGCAGGTCTGTCAGTCGCTCTAGCAGACGCTCTACGCTGGCGTATCGGATCTGAGGCACCTTGCAGGAGTTCAGCGTCTTGCTGAAGCAAATGTCTACATCATCTTTATGCAGCCGGGCATCAGACCTGAGCAGAGAAGCATTTTGGGTGATTCAATCATTGTGATCATGCTGAGAAACCAATCAGTCAATCAGTTCAAGTTTTTGGCCTCTTGATGATGTCATAATTCAATAACACCAGCTTTTTACAGCCTTCCTCATTTTTTTGAGGATACAACATTGTTGCCAACTCTAATACAAACAGTCCATGAATTTTGCTCCATTTTTGCACAGTTTGCTCACACTATGAGAGGATGAAGTTGAGTTTTCCTGGCATGCCTGCTCTCTTTTTTATACAAGAAAAGGTGCTGCTTTTTTGCTTCGTTTCATAATTACTTTTGCACAGATGCAAATACCATCAGCTCTCAGAAGCCAGTAAATATCTGATACTAAATATGTTTCTCAAACAGTGCAAATCTATCAGAGCTAGCAAATAACAAAACATAATCTTATAAAGAGTTTTCTTCACTGTTGCATTATTGCAAATGTTTAACGTCAGGTGTTTGCTAGAGACAAGTCACAAAAAATAAATAAAAATGTCTCCTCACTAAATAAAAATCCATAATAATAAATACATAATGCTCAGACCACACTGTTAGAAATGAAGATTACAAGTGAAACAAGAAAAGTTTGAATATGGAATAAAAGATCATTTATTTCATAAATTCCACTTAAAAGGGGATAATAACATATGGGATAAACTCATTACATTATTTGTTTGTTATAATTTAGATGATTGTGGCTCACAGCTGATGAAAACCCCACATTCAAAATCTCTGACAACTAGAATATTGTGAAAAGGTTCAATATTCTAGTGTCACACTCTAATCAACTAATTAATCCAGAACACCTGTAAAGGGTTCCTGGGCCTTTAAACTGTCTCAGTCTGAGCTGCATTACTGAAATTAACTTAGGCCTAGTCCACACGTAGCTGGGTTTTTTAAAAACGAATATCCGCCCCTCCAAAAACTTGCATCCACACCACCTCGTTTAAAAAAACTGTCCACAAGTACCCGGATAAATACGTTGTTAAGGACATGCCAGACCTGTAGGTTGCAGTACTTCCCCCGTTCTTAACCTCGTCCTTCGTCTGTGGTCTTCCGCAAGGAGCAGTAATTCCGCTTGCAAAAACAAACAAGCAAAAAGCGCTTGGACAATTGATAAAGCGAGCGCAGCTCTGAGGGCATCCATGCTGTCGGCTAGTGAAAACACAGGTCGCACACGTGATGTCAGCATTTTTTTGTCGCGGAAAGTGACGTTGCGGACCTTAAAACTCCGGTTTTGTCCGTCCACACGCAGACACCCAAAACGGAGAAAACACAGATCTTCACTTTGGCCGGAGTTTTTAAAAAGATCCGTTTTCGTGTGAAAAAACTCTGTTTTCGTGTGGATGACAGGCCAAAAAATATCTACGTTTTGGCAGATCCCCGGCTACGTGTGGACATGGCCTGAATTTTGCACCATATTCTCATTTTCCAAGTTCCTGGTTTGGAAATGTAACACTTGCTTTTTAATAAAAGTATCTGATCTACTGATATGAAACAGAAAACACATTTTCTTACTTGATCATGTGTGGGACGGACACTTTAGAATTCTCCTCAAACACGCTGGTCATTAGGCCGTTACAGCGGATATTATCAATGCACTGTAAAAAAAATTGCAGAATGAGATGTTACATGGAGATTGGCTACATGATCATCAAACTGAGCTCCTACCTGGCTGATGTCGCTGGTCCAGGCTGCCTTCTCCTGACGAGAAGGAGCCAGGAGAACGACGGAGAAGCTCTGACCATCGGGAGGCTCCAATATAATCTTAAACTCCAGGTGGCTGAGGCCTTGACCTGCAGCATTATCTGCAAACAAAAAAAAGTTAAGGTTGTTTACTTTTTATTTTGTTATGATTCATTCCTGCTGTCCTCGTCACAGAGACATGATGGTTCCTTTTTAACATTGTGGAGCTGGTGACTGAACTAAGACAGGCGTTTGGATAGAAATGTAAATGCCATTTTCTTCACTTAACATGCACTGTAAAATAAACAAAGAGATGCTTACAGTCTTCATCGCTGGCGTCTATTTCTTCTATGAGCGTGCACTCAATCAGGGACAATGACCCTCCAAGCTGCAACAGAGGTTTCCAAATTAGTCTTTTGTTTGCCTTTGAATTCTAAATTTTAGTTAAGAAAGGAACTTTTGCAGCATCTCCAATCAGTCTCTGATCTGATTAGTTTTTAGAAAATCATAGAAAAGGGATCAGATCTGTTGCATGTCAGCTCTACGTTTTGCAGATGATGTGATTCTGTTGGTATCTTCAAGCCACATCCTCCAAAATGCACTGGGGTGGTTTATGACAAAGTATAAAGTGACTGGCATTAGCATCTGAAACCATAGTTTACAGCTGTAGAATACTGCTGCTAGGTTGGGAGTGAGTCTGACCCTGAATCTACACTGGAGGAATCAGCGGCGCGGAACAGCAGCGGGGTGGTTTACTCGCAGGCTTTGCTGTGCATCAATCCACACCGAGGAAGTCTCAGCGAGATCACAAAATCCCTCAAGACTTCAAAGGTCACAATTTGCTCATGTCATCTGCCATTAAACCAAAAAGAAGGAGATCACATTTGACATCGCTGTTTGGTGTCATGTATAATGTTATTCCTCTCCACTGCCAGGATTAAAGCCATGAAAAACACACTGTTGTGCTCCTCGAAAGATGCTGAGAGTAAATAAGTCATTTGGTCACATGTATTGACGTAATCTACACGATATGAAATCACATCTCTGCATTATTCTTTTATTTTGAAAATACCAGACGTTTCACACTGAACCCGTGTGTGATTTCCTGTCTAGTCTTTGTTAACTGCAGAAATTGATGTGTCCCAGAAGAAGCTTGCAGAAAAAATGGACCCCAATCCCATCTTCAGCGGTGCGGTCGTTTTGGATCAACCCTCTAGACTTTAATTGATTCTTTTGAAGAAGCAAACATTCTGCGCCGCTGATGCTTCCAGTGTGAATTTGAGGTCAGTCTCAGATGGAGTAGTTGAAGTATCCTGGTGTTCTGTTCATCAGTAAAGGTGGAGCAAAAGATCCAACCTCTTCAAAAGTCTAGAGATCCTGGTGGAGCTTTATCTGTGTTAATGGGACATAGTGGCAATAATGGAGCTGAGTGAAAAAGCAAAGCTCTTGTATAACTCCCAACTGTCATTTATGGTCATGAGATTTAGACCAGGAAAGAAAACAGGATTTCCTGGTTGGCTCCTTCTGGAGATTTTCCAGATGCAATGGAAGGACACCTCAGGGCAGACCCTCTGAAGAGATCCTAATTCCTCTTTGGTCTAGGAACACTTTGGGATCACATCACTCAGGGGAAGGTGAGTGTCCCTGGGGTTTCCTCCTGCTCCTTCATCAACCTGACCTCAAATAAGGGGCAGAAAATGGATGGATCACTCCAGAAAGGCCTGGTTGTTGTCAGGAGACGGGGTTTCTAGAGTCTCCACAAAACATTGCTTGGTGTCCATTTTGGGGAACAGTTTCCTAATGTTGATTGGGATTAGCTCAGACGCTTTTTGTTTTGGAGTTTTGGTGACATCTAACTAAGAAAGACCATAATGGAAGAACAGAATGTGCAAGCCTAACCTTCAACAGGTGCAGCTTCCCTCCAGATGTTCTTGTACAGATGAGGAAGTGTTTGGTGAACAGGAAACACTGCCTTTCTCCTTCTTTTCTCAGAGAGAGAGAGCCCAGACGCACCTTACTGAGCATTCCCCGCTCGCTGCTGGAAGGCAGCTGGATGAGAGAGCCTGTTGGAGGAGAGGAAGAGGTGTGGAGTGATGGGATTGAGGAGACAGATGACATGGCCAGAAGAAACTTCAACTTACCTTGTCTGACGAAGGTCTGGCTTGTGTCCAGCAGGATGTCACAGCCTTCAACAATCATCCTCTCAATGGCCAGGTTCTTCCGGATGTTCTCCGTGTCGCTCACCTCATCGTGCATCATCCTGTTAACACATTTATTGTTAGAGAGTCTTCATGGTGTGAGGTGGATCACTTACAGCCAGAAGGTTTCTGGTCTTTTCTTTGTGGAGATTGTTTTTCCCACTTCTGAAGATAAACGCTATAGCTGTGTTCAAGGTTTAAGTGAAGGTTTTAAGTCATCCAGATTAGAGTCATCATAAAGCTTGAATGATTGGGACAAAACATGAAAACTGCATTTTCTTGTATACGGCATATTAATAGTCATGTTTGATGTCCAATTTATCAAGTTTTATGCATTTGAAATGGAACAAAAACATTGTGGTCATCACCCCAACGTCACTCCTATTATTATTTTTATTATTATTATTATTATTATTATTATTATTATTATTATTATTATCTCCCTGGGCTGCCGCCTCACCATGGTGGAGGGGTTTGAGTGTCTCAATGATCCTCGGAGCTAAGTTGTCTGAGGTTTTCTGCCTCTGGTAGGGTCCTCCATGGCAAACAGGTCCTAGGTGAGGGATCAGACAAAGAGCAGCCCCAACACCTCTTATGATGAATTATATAAATGGAAACCATGTTCCCTCGCCCGGACGTGGGTCACCGGGGCCCCCCTCTGGAGCCAGGCCTGGAGGTGGGGCACGTTGGCGAGCGCCTGGTGGCCAGGCTTTTACCCATGGAGCCCGGCCGGACACAGCCCGAAGAGGAAACGTGGGTCCCCCCTTCCCATGGGCTTACCACTTGTGAGAGGGGCCAAAGGGGTCGGGTGCAGTGTGTGACGGGTTGTAGTCGAGGGCGGGGACCTTGGCCGTCTGATCCTCGGCCACAGAAGCTGGCTTTTGGCACATGAAATGTCACCTCTCTGGTGGGGAAGGAGCCTGAGTTGGTGTGTGAGGCTGAGAGGTTCCGACTAGATATAGTCGGACTCACCTCAACGCATGGCTCTGGCTCTGGAACCAGTTTCCTTGGGAGGGGTTGGACTTTCTACAACTCTGGAGTTGCTCCCACTGAGAGGCGCCGAGCAGGGGTGGGCATAGTAGTTGCCCCCCATCTTGGTGCCTGTACGTTGGGGTTTACCCCGGTGAATGAGAGGGTAGCCTCCCTCCGCCTATGTGTGGGGGGACGGGTTCTGACTGTGGTCTCTGCTTATGCATCAAACTACAGTTCAGACAAGGGGTTGCATGACTTAATTTTTTTTTAAAAGTCGACAGTCAAGTAATGAAAATCGAGTCGACTTCGACTAGTCGTTGATGACGTCATACACCTGAAGCGGCACTGGGGGTGGGGTGGGGGTGGGGGTGGGGGGTCGGTAGGTTCGCTGGAGTTTTTCACAATTAAAATTGCGCCCACATTTTCTAAGTTAACACATCTCTTTTAACAACGGTAGTTTCTGCAGCCTACTTTAGCCCTCTCCCCCCTCCCCCTGCGCAGCAGCCGCAAACTCACTGATGCGCCTGCAGCCTTTTCTGCTGCTCTAAACATTAAATAATTATTTCATTTTTTGTTCCTCACTTCCGATTACTACCTTCAATGGTGTTTGTTTGTTGCAACCAGGTACAAAAACTAACTTGTTTTTATTTGACTATTTTTCTGTCCTGTCTGTTTATTATCTTCCTGCACCTCCTCTCAATCCTAAAGAAAAACTGCTACATGGGTTCATTTATATTCACCTTATGAGTTACCTTTGAACTGCAGTTCTAAAAGATCTACCGACCACAAAAACAGCGGAGTGCCGCTGCTCGCCGGGGGACTACAACAGGACCGTTTTTGCTGCGGAGTTCGTGCCGGAGCGGAGCGGAGATAGTGGAATTTTGGGGGTGCGTCACCGGAGGACAAAACAGGTGATGCGCCTCGCTCCGCAGCAGCGAAACGCATCAGGCACAAATAACAGACAGAAAACATTAAAGGAAATGAGCCGACATGAACGATCGCGTGGTTAATTTGTTTTTGAGGTGGTGACACCTGATTTGGCGGTGCTCAGGACGCAGATGTCTGGAGCGTGTCAACGATCAGAGCTTTGCATGTGCAAAGTGGTTAAGATTAGGATCGGGGTGAGGGGAAGGTAAAATTGCAAGAGGGAAAAGGTCACAGTTTGGTTAAATGTCCATTTTACCGCCGGTGTCAGTACTGATGCTCTGGCACAGCGCGTCGCCTCCGCCTTCCGACGCGCAGGGGCTCATCACCCGCTGTCTTTTCCGAGGACTGCATCTTGTCAGTCATTATCACTGTTACGGCTGGAGCCTTTTTGTGTTGTGATTTCATTTTTTTGTGCATTTTATGTTGCATCTGAGGAGCCTGCCTGCAGACTATGTTGGCTCACCCTTGCTCCTCCCTGCACCAGCTGAGCTGGGTTTTCATCAGCCGCAAATTGTTTAAAGGACCAGCTGGAGCTCCTCACCAATGGGGACAATAGTGCAGAGCTGCCTTTCCTCTGGTCTGTTGTCTCCCACTTAGAACATCGATATTGTGCTCTTACTGTTTGAACCTGTTTTGGTAAAAGTGGATTTAGATCCGTGGTGGTTAAAAGAATAATAGTCATCTTTTCTGAATTAAGAGAAAGTAAATAAAACCTTTGTTAATTTTCCTTTGTGTCACGCGTCCTCCATGTTACCCCAGGCCCCCTAGACACCTGGTTGTAACATATGGGGGCTCGTCCGGGATAATTAAGTACCCTTAAACTGAGGTTGGATGCGTGATCATTTGTGTGTATCAGTGTTTTACCAGTTATGGCTACTTTTGATTTTGCGCAGTTTGTGGAGGCCCCATCCCGTGGACTGATTGGTGCCTGTCGCAAGCGGGATCTGCTGGACGTGGCGGATCACTTTGGATTTCAGGTGGACAGCTCAATGTTAAATGTGGAGCTGCAGGAGGTGGTAATCAGTGGCTTGGAGGACTTGGGCCTGCTTACTCGGCAACAGGCTGCCTCGCCTGCGGAGGCCCGTGTACATGCTGAACCTCCCCTGGCGACCCCGCCCCCTGTCAGCCCTATAGCACCTGATGACAGAGACAGACTGGTTACAGCTGCTGGAGACGTGGACCCGGCTGACTCTGATGAGGACGTGACTCCAGCCGAATTCAGGCTGAGGATTGAGCAACTCCGTTTGGACGCTGAGGACAGAGCCCAGCGCAGACAGCTGGAGTTTGAGATGAGAAAGCTGGAACTGGAAGCTGATACAAAATTGCGGCTCCGCAAACTTGAACTTGAACACGAGGCTGTGAAGGCTGAGAAAGAGACATCTCCGGTGAGTTCCCCACCGCAAGACTCTTTTAATATCAGTAACTGCATGGCGTTGATGCCTGTTTTCAGGGAATCTGAGGTTGACTGCTACTTCTCTGCGTTTGAACGCATCGCAACGGCGCTTAATTGGCCGCGGGATGTGTGGCCTCTTCTGCTGCAGTGCAGATTCACAGGTAAAGCCTCCGAGGTTGTAGCCGCTCTCTCTGTCTCGGATAGCAATAATTATGACACCGTTAAAACTGCAGTTTTACAGGCATATGAGTTGGTGCCAGAAGCCTATCGCCAGAAATTCAGACTTTCCAGGAAAAACTCTGCACAGACACACATTGAGTTTGCTCGAGTAAAAACGGTTCTATTCGATAAATGGTGTAATTCCTCCAAGGTAAAAGACTTTGCTACTTTGCGTGAGCTCCTGCTCCTTGAGGAATTTAAACGCTGCATCCCTGATAAAGTGGTTCAGTATGTAAACGAGCAGAAGGTGACATCATTGTCTGCTGCAGCGCAGCTCGCGGATGAGTTTGTGTTAACTCACAGGGTGAATTTTGATCCCAACAGAAGACCCTCACCTGGGCCGCCTGCTGAGTCAGACATAACGAATGTCGTTCCTGAACCTGCTCTGTGTTTTTATTGTCACAAGCCTGGTCATGTCATAAAGGACTGTCCCATTCTCCAGGCCAAGAATGTAAGACAAGAACAGCCTGACAATGTTGAGGTTTTTACCTGTTCAGCCCATGTTACTGTTGGGGAACGGGATGTGGGATCCTGTTTTAAGCCATTTGTATTTTCTGGATTTGTTTCATTGTCGGCTGATGATAGGCCTGTACCGATAAAAATCCTGAGGGACACTGGGGCATCTCATTCTCTCATTCTGAGTTCGGCATTACCCTTTTCTGGAAGAAGTGCTTGTGGTTTTAAAGTAGTTGTTAAAGGGATTGCGCCCCCGTCCTTTCAGAGGCCTGTCCATCGTGTGTTTTTAACATCTGATCTCGTCACAGGATATTTTAACATTGCTGTCTGTCGCTCCCTACCAGTGGATGGCGTCGTTCTCCTGTTGGGAAATGACATCGCCGGGGACTTGGTGGTTCCACCTGCCTGGTCAAATCCTCAAGCTAAGGGAGTAGAAAACATGTCAGTTTCTACTCCTAATGGTCTCATTGCAGGAAACAAAAACACAGGCTCCTGTGAAATGGACAGACGTGCTGCTGAGCCTGAGCCGCCCGTGTTTGATGCTGGGTTTTGTGGACCAGCCAAAATAAAGAGGAAAAATAAAAAGAAACCATTATGATTTATCCGTGAGTAGTGTACAGAGACCTTCGCTTTACAAATTCCGTGCTTTGGCCACTTATTAAGTAAGATGACAAGCAGCAAAGGCCCAGAAAAGATTTTGGTTTTGCCCAACCTGGAGAATGAGATGTAGCAGTGTTTGTTGTTTTGTTTTTGTACCCAAAGGTGTAGACCTTAGGCTTTATGGGGGGAAGTGTTACGGCTAGAGCCTTTTTGTGTTGTGATTTCATTTTTTTGTGCATTTTATGTTGCATCTGAGGAGCCTGCCTGCAGACTATGTTGGCTCACCCTTGCTCCTCCCTGCACCAGCTGAGCTGGGTTTTCATCAGCCGCAAATTGTTTAAAGGACCAGCTGGAGCTCCTCACCAATGGGGACAATAGTGCAGAGCTGCCTTTCCTCTGGTCTGTTGTCTCCCACTTAGAACATCGATATTGTGCTCTTACTGTTTGAACCTGTTTTGGTAAAAGTGGATTTAGATCCGTGGTGGTTAAAAGAATAATAGTCATCTTTTCTGAATTAAGAGAAAGTAAATAAAACCTTTGTTAATTTTCCTTTGTGTCACGCGTCCTCCATGTTACCCCAGGCCCCCTAGACACCTGGTTGTAACAATCACGTGACAGTGACTAGTCGATGACAGGCATAAAAAGTCACTACAGAGCCGTGAAGTCGACTAGTCGACTAGTTCATACAACCCCTAGTTCAGACTACCCACCCTTTTTGGAGACCTTGGAAGGGGTGTTGGAAAGCGCTCCTTCTGGTGACTCCCTTGTTCTGCTAGGGGACGTGGGCAACGACAGTGAGACCTGGAGAGATGTGGTTGGGAGGAACGGCCCCCCTGATCTGAATTTGAGTGGTGTTTTGTTATTGGACTTCTGTGCCAGTCATGGATTGTCCATAATGAACATCATATTCAGACATAAAGGTGTCCATATGTGCTCTGGACAACAGGATACCTTAGGCCGCAGCTGGATGATCGACTTTGTTGTTGTTTCATCTGACCTGCGGCCGCATGTCTTGGACACTCGGGTGAAGAGACGGGCAGAGCTGTCAACTGACCACTACCTGGTGGTGAGTTGGCTCAGATGGTGGAGGAGGATGCCGGTCAGACCAGGCAGGCCCAAACGTATTGCGAGGGTCTGCTGGGAACGTCTGGCAGAGTCTTCTTTCAGAAGGAGCTTCAATTCCCACCTCCGACAGAACTTCCAAAATGTTCCGGGGGAGGCGGGGGACATTGAGTCTGAATGGACCCTGTTCCGTGCCTCCGTTGTTGAGGCGGCCGACCGGAGCTGCGGTCGCATGATCATCGGTGCCTGTCGTGGTGGCAACCCCCGAACCCGCTGGTGGACACCGGCGATTAGGGATGCTGTCAAGCTGAAGAAAGAGTCCTATTAGGTATTTTTGGCCTGTGGGACTCCAGAGGCAGCTGACGGGTACCGGCAGTCCAAGCGGAATGCGGCTCGGGTGGTCGCCAAGGCAACAACCCGGGCATGGGAGGAGTTCGGTGAGACCATGGAGCAAGACTTCTGTATGGCTTTGAGGAGATTCTGGTCCACCATCTGGCACCTCGGGGGGGCGGGGGCGGGGGGGTTGGGGAAGCACTGTGCTACCAACACTATCTATAGTGGGGACGGTGTACTGCTGACGTCTACCCAGGACGTTGTGGATCGGTGGGCAGAATACTTCGAAGATCTCCTCAAACCCACCGACACGTCTTCCAGTAAGGAAGCATAGTCTGGGGACTTTGGGTTGGCCTCTCAAATCTCTGGTGCTGAGGTCACTGAGGTGGTTAAGAAGATCCTCTGTGGCAAGGCTCCAGGGGTGGATGAGATCCGCCCAGAGTTCCTTAAGGCTCTGGATGTTGTGGGGCTGTGTTGGTTGATGCGGCTCTGCAATATCGCGTGGACATCGGGAGCAGTCCCACTGGACTGGCAGACCGGGGTGGTGGTCCCCTTATTTAAAAAGGGGGACCGCAGGGTGTGTTCCAACTACAGGGAATCACACTCCTGAGCCTTCCTGGTAAGGTCTATTCAGGGGTTCTGGAGAGGAGGGTCCGTCGGATTGCTGAACCTCAGATTCAGGAGGAGAAATGTGGTTTTCGTCCTGGCCGTGGAACACTGGGCCAGCTCAATGCCCTTAGGGGGATCCTGGAGGGTGCGTGGGAATTTGTCCAACCAGTCTACATGTGTTTTGTGAATTTGGAGAAGGCATTTGACCACGTCCCTCGGGGGGCCCTGTGCGGGGTACTCCGGGAGAATGAGGTACCAGGCCCTCTGATACGGGTTGTTGGGTCCCTGTATGTCCGGTGTCAGCGCTTGGTCCGCATTAACGGCAGTAAGTCGGGCTCGTTCCCAGTGAGAGTTGGACTCCACCAAGGCTGCCCTTTGTCACCGATTCTGTTCATAACCTTTATGGACAGGATTTCTAGGCGCAGCCAAGGTGTGGAGGGCATCCGTTTTGGTGGCCTGAGGATCAGGTCTCTGCTTTTTGCAGATGATGTGGTTGGCTTCATCAGAACGTGATCTTCAGCTTTCGCTGGAGCAGTTCGCAACCGAGTGTGAAGCAGCTGGGATGAGAATCAGCTCCTCTAAATCTGAGACCATGGTCATGATTCTGAAAAGGGTAGAATGCCTTCTCCGGGTCAGGGATGAGGTCCTGCCCCAAGTGGAGGAGTTTAAGTGTCTTGGGGTCTTGTTCACGAGTGAGGGAAAACTGGAGCGTGAGATCGATAGGCGGATTGGTGCTGGATCTGCACTGATGCGTGCGTTGTACCGATCTGTGGTGGTGAAGAGAGAGCTGAGTCAGAAGGCGAATCTCTCGATTTACTGGTCGATCTAGGTTCCTACCCTCACCTACAGGTGCTGGCCAGTAAATTAGAATATCATCAAAAGGTTGAAAATATTTCAGTAATTCCATTCAAAACGTGAAACTTGTACATTATATTCATGCAATGCACACAGACCAATGTATTTCCAATGTTCATTACATTTAAATTTGATATTTATAGGTGACAACCAATGAAAACATCAAATCTGGTATCTCAGAAAATTAGAATATTCTAAAGGCCAATGAAAAAATGTTTGTTTCTCTAATGTTGGCCAACTGAAAAGAATGAACATGAAAAGAATGTGCATGTATAGCACTCAATACTTAGTCGGGGCTCCTTTTGCCTCAATAACTGCAGTAATGCGGCGTGGCATGGACTCGATCAGTCTGTGGCACTGCTCAGGTGTTATGAGAGCCCAGGTTGCTCTGATAGTCGTCTTCAGCTCCTCTGCATTGTTGGGTCTAGCGTATTGCATCCTCCGCTTCACAATACCCCATAGATTTTCTATGGGGTTAAGGTCAGGCGAGTTTGCTGGCCAATCAAGGACAGGGATACCATGGTCCTTGAACCAGGTGCTGGTGGTTTTGGCACTGTGTGCAGGTGCCAAGTCCTGTTGAAAGGTGAAGTCTGCATCCCCATAAAGTTGGTCAGCAGCAGGAAGCATGAAGTGCTCTAAAACTTCCTGGTAGACGGCTGCATTGACCCTGGACCTCAGGAAACAGAGTGGACCAACACCGGCAGATGACATGGCACCCCACACCATCACCGACGGTGGAAACTTTACACTGGACCTCATGCAACGTGGATTCTGTGCTTCTCCGCTCTTCCTCCAGACTCTGGGTCCTCGATTTCCAAAGGAAATGCAGAACTTGCTTTCATCAGAAAACATAACTTTGGACCACTCAGCATCAGTCCAGTCCTTTTTGTCCTTGGCCCAGGCGAGACGCTTCTTGCGCTGTTTCTTGTTCAAGAGTGGCTTGACACACGGAATGCGACACCTGAATCCCATGTCTTTCATGAGTCTCCTCGTGGTGGTTCTTGAAGCGCTGACTCCAGCTGCAGTCCACTCTTTGTGGATCTCCCCCACATTTTTGAATGGGTTTGTCGTCACAATTCTCTGCAGGGTGCGGTTATCCCTAGAGCTTGTACACTTTTTTCTACCACATTTTTTCCGTCCCTTCGCCTGTCTGTTAATGTGCTTGGACACAGAGCTCTGCGAACAGCCAGCTTCTTTAGCAATCACCTTTTGTGTCTTGCCCTCCTTGTGCAAGGTGTCAATGATTGTCTTTTGGACAGCTGTTAAGTCAGAAGTCTTCCCCATGATTGTGGTGCCTTCAAAACAAGACTGAGGGACCTTTTAAAGGCCTTTGCAGGTGTTTTGAGTAAATCAGCTGATTAGAGTGGCAGCAGGTGTCTTCTATATTCAGCCTTTTCAGAATATTCTAATTTTTTGAGATACCAAATTTGGAGTTTTCATTAGTTGTCACTTATGAATATCAAATTTAAATGTAATGAACATTGGAAATACATTGGTCTGTGTGCATTGCATGAATATAATGTACAAGTTTCACGTTTTGAATGGAATTACTGAAATATTTTCAACCTTTTGATGATATTCTAATTTACTGGCCAGCACCTGTATGGTCATGAGCTTTGGGTAGTGACCGAAAGAACGAGATCACGGATACAAGCGGCCGAAATGAGTTTTCTCTGAAGAGTGGCTGGGCTCTCCCTTAGAGATAGGGTGAGAAGCTTGGTCATTCGGGAGAGGCTCGGAGTAGACCCATCGAGAGGAGCCAGATGAGGTGGCTCGGACATCTGGTCAGGATGCCTCCTGGACGCCTCCCTGGTGAAGTTTTCCGGGCACGTCCAACCGGGAGGAGACCTAACGACACGGTGGAAGTACTATGTCTCTCACCTGGCCAGGGAACGCTTTGGGATTCCCCCGGAGGAGCTGGCCCAAGTGGCTGGGGAGAGGGAAGTCTGGGCCTCTCGCCTTAGGCTACTGCTCCCGCGACCCGACTCCGGATAAGCGGATGAAAATGGATGGATGGATGGATGGATGGATGGATGGATGGATGGATGGATATTATTATTATTATTATATTATTATTATTATTATTATTATTAGTGTTGTTGTTGTTGTTGTTGTTATGATCCCTAAACTGGTGTTACAGCTTATTTCAAACATCTGCAAAATTGCGTCTTGAGTCATATATTCAAGTTTGACAACCCCAAGTGACACTTTATTCATAGATATATTAAATGATTTTTTTTAACTTCTTTATTTAATTTTGTTCTAAATTTTGATGTATTTAATCCAACCTAATTTCTATTTTAAAATGGGCTACTATTTGCATGTTTTTATTTTCTCCCAGCACCTTCACACCTGTCTGCGTTCCTGACTTCCTGGTTCATGAAACCATAACAATCCCAGACTCACTTGGACAACTCCTCCAGCTTGGATTTGGCAAACTCCAGACTCTTTCGCTCCACGTGCTCATGAGGTGTGTGAGCCAGCAGCTCGTGGAGAGTGATGATGTACCTAGGGATCTAAGGTAATGAAGAAAAATATTAACTCTCACATGCTAAAATCAGACAGACACGTGTGACCCAACGAAATGTTAGTCAGAAATAGAAGAGCTTGTCAGACACGACTGAAATTAAAAAATTATTAATTATTTTGTCAGTAAAATCATTGGCAATATTATTAGTTATTTATGTGATTGTGTTTCTTGTCTCTGGATGCTGGCTTTTCAAAACCAGATCTTTTCTAATGTATTTGTTTAGGTGTTGTGCTGTAAGCTGCATGCAGTACCTGGAACATGGGATACGTCAAAAATGTCTCCAGCATGCGAGCCTCGCAGGCAGCGTTGGATTCATACTGTTTCAGTAGCTTGTCAAAGTCTCTGTTCTGCTTGCAGTTGGCCAGAACCTGCAGGCTGTACTGGTGGTTCCTCACAAACTCCTGGTAGATGTTCAGCATGGGCAGCAGGATGTCAAACAGGTCGGCTGTGAGGGAAACACACAACAGCTCCTATCGTGACTCTAAAGCAAAAATGTATTTAAGGCTGCCGGCATGTCACATTGTAAAATTATTGAAATTGAACTAAAATTAGGAAATTATTTAATGCCCATTGGCTGATTTTAGGGTTCTTTTCTTTTTTTTTAAATTCAATTAAATAGACAAAAATGTAAAAAAAAAAATTTCTAAATAACTTTTTGCTTTGATACTTTCAATATCGTCCATCTGGTAAACAATACTGAAATATTATGTTTTAGAAAAAAATATTTTATTATTTATATTTAAAATGACAGCAGTTTCCTTCTATTGTAGAGACCTGCTGTGTTACAGAAACTGTAACAGATGGTCCCAAAACCCCCACGCCCACCTCTACATCATATGTGGAGCTTTTCAGGACTCACCCAGAACCAACGTTGGCCAGTTGGCAATCCGAGCCTTCAGCCCCTGGTGGAAGATCTCATGAAGGAACATGATGGTCTCACTGGAGACAGAAAACTGGCCTCAGTTTACTTTGAAAGGGTTTAGTGAGAAAACTGGCTGTCGGTTCATTTGAAAATCAAAACACAAAGTAGAAAAGTCACGTTCTTAGCCTGCAGAGTAAATAATCACTGAGATACAGTGGAGCCATGATGATGGAAGGTTAGGATGGTTCTGAGGGGCCACAACTAATGATGTTCTTAATTTAATTTTTAATGAAGTTAATAAAAAAATTAGGTGCTTAGATTCTAGTTTCCATCCAACTGACATCCAACAAATTATAACAGAACCTCAATACTTGCGTTAGTGGTGGTTTAAGGATAATTGAGCCTGGACGTATAATTCTGACGCTGTGTAAACGAGAGTTATTTACCTCTCAATTCTAACTCAAACCCAATATTTCTTTATAAAATCCCTGATTATGTTCTGACTGCCTGGAGAACTCCTCCTTGGTATTCATGCTCATGATGGGTGTAAACCTCTGACTTTAGCTGTGTGTTATGTGTGCTGTAAGTGTTGAAGAGCTGTGTGGAAGCTCCGAGCACCCTGCTCTTCATCAGAGAACCAGCTAACCCCAACCCTAACAGCTGTGAATCTTCTGATAATTCAAGATGGAGAGTTTCAGACACAGCAAAAGTGCAGAAACACTGAGTCATAAAGTATGTAGTGTGGGAAAACATCACTGGAATTGAAACCAGCAGGGTGAAAAACACCCGTTTCTCACTTCAGTCTGTATTGGTACCTCACTGACTCATCGGCGAACCGCAAAACCAAAGAAACAAACTGTTCTGTCTCAAGGTGCATCTGGAACACCTGAGCAACTCGTGGCTTCGTCCTCTGTGACTGACTTGCCTGTAAGCTCACCTGCTGCGCTCATCCCTCACAGCTCCTGCTGACCTCTAACATATAGGAAACTGTCTCAGCTACAAGGCCACTCAAGCCAAAGCCGTGCAAACCACTAAGCACCACACAAAGCTACTCACTCATGAGTCTCCACATTTCTCTGGGTGCTTCTCCTCATCATGAACACAGAATAATAAGTTTTACTTTTTCCTGCGTGTTATCTAGATGAACAAACATGACATTTACAGCCATTTTTGATTTTGAAACACACAAACAGCAAGTACCATACCACTAAAAAAACATGAGCAACATCAGCTCTATGCTCTTGTCTCAATGCCTATTTTTTTTAATGCTAACCCTTGGAGCTTCACTAAAAGCTCATGACAGCCCACCAGCTGTGAGATAACCAGGATTTACACAAAGATACAGCAAATAGAGGAGGGAATGCTACAAAACAAATAAAAAACGAAGATGACACACAGAATTACGTAGATAGAGGCAGGTTTAAATATTCAGCAATAAATTAAGAGGCGCATGAGTCCACCTGTTGAGGAAGATGCTGCTGACATCATCGTGACTGATGGGAGGTTTCTTGGAACTAGCAGCCATGCGGAGCGGCCGGAGGAAGCAGTTCACCAGGATGGAGAGCTGGTGGACGTACTCGGTCTCCGCCTCCACCATGTTGAACACAATCTGGTTCCTCTTCCTCATGCTCTCAGCGTGAGGAGAGCAGATGTAGTCCTGGACAATGATTTTCCACTTCCTCCGGCACAGCCAGCCACGCAGGAAGCTCTGAACCTGTAACACCAGAGAGCGCCCCATGTCCCGTATTCACTCTCTAATCATTTCCCCAAACCCATAGATCACTGGGTGATATTCAAAAGGAAGTTTCTAAATGATAAAGAAGTTTTAAAGGATTAAAATGAGATGAGTTTTTGTGGGGTAGTTTGTTTGCAGCTACCCTTCTGTAACAATTATTACATATTAATTATGACCAGTAAGATGTGATTTTCCATATAAATATGAAATATCAATCTGATTGATCTTTGAATATTTAATCAGAAGAATCTAGGGTTCTTTGCTTCTTTAGGGACCATAAACACACCGTATTAATTCAGACAGAGTCAGTATATAGGTTATAAAATGAATTTAATTATTTTTCCTAAACTAATGATACATGACAAGATATGAACAATGAGATGTGGTGTGGTGGATGTGAGGTGTTGTGATGGAAGCTAGATGTTGTAGCAACCGTTCTTTGTATCTGAGAGAAATTGTGAACTCTGGGTGTAAAATAATTAGTTGTTTGTTAGAAACTAGAGATTTGTTTATTAAAAACAGCATCAGATGCAATCTGTCGTGCCAAGTCTATGCACCCTTGGTGTGGAGGTTCTCGTTCGATCTGGGGTCGATGGTCACTGCCGGTAGAGTGAACCTCTGATATCAGGAACCCATGGATAGTTCCGATAGGACCCGTCCAGTCTGAGATCCCTCAAGGTGAAGGCAGAAAGCTGGAATGCTTATTTGCGTCTAAGGCTGATGTTTGTTTGGCTCTTAGAAGAGCCGGTTGTCTGGTATCAGCCGCAGCGTTGCAGAGAGGCTTTGACAGGAGGTCAAAGGAGAAGATGGCTTCAGAAATGCTTCTTTCCCGAATTGGCCGGTTCGAGGGTTAGCGAAAAACTGAATTAATCGGAAAGTAAGTCTTGTTTTATTAAACTTCTTTGTTATGATTTCTGGCCAAGTTTGGCCAATCAGAATTTGACACGTTTCTGAGAATTTACCAACATCCCTCTGAAAACCACGCCTTCCTTCAGATACAAGATTCTTAACACTGTGAATAAGAATCTTTAACCTTATGTGAGGTGCATGTGAGTAAACAATGATTAACTTGATAAATCAAACACATACTGATCAGAAGATCTGCAATGGATCATTGTAAGAACAATATTCATTTCAAATTCATTGATTTAAGCACAGGTTATTCAAACATTTGATTTAAACATCTTGTTCATTCATCACATATGATAGTTTAACTTATAACTATAAAATCATGGAGTCTTCACTTATTCCGAGAGAAGAATGTTAACGTCTGGCGTTCACACAGTGTGTGCAAGAACCTCGGGTGAGAATGTTTGAATGTTTTGTCTTCATGGTATGTAAACAAGCACTGCAGAACCTTCTGGGTTTGGAAGGCCAAATAGGAAGTGGATTTATTTCTGTAGATGAAAGGTCACTACGATGGTCAATGTAGATGGTGAAAAATGGACCCTTTCTGACGTTACGCTTCCCACTGGTGGCGCAGTTAGACTAATTTGTCATTTAAATGATGGAATTGACAAATCATCACGTTTGTTTAGTCACATTATATCTCACAAGCAAGCTTTCATTCTGTTTAGGGTTCTGGAGGCTGAATTCGTGTTTTGTGGCATTTTTAAATGTTACAGCAAGTGAAGATGGCAGAATGAGGGCAAAACACACTGAGAGGACTTCGCCCTTTTTAATAATGCCCGCCACATGCTCAAGCAGCTTCTTGAGAAAAAAAAAACATATGTGTACAATCACAACTACAATTATGAATAGTTTTTACTATTTTGAGAACCCAACAAGTTGCAGCCGAGTAAGAGTGGTTTCACACATGTGATAACTGACCTTTTTTATCTTTTTAATATCCGGGTCCTCCTCTTCATGGTTGTTCTGGTAAGGCAGCATCTTCTCCTTAGTTTTGTTCAACATTATTATCTGCAACAACAGCACTCTCCACGTGAATACAGCAGTGAACAGAAGATGAAATATTCATGAAATCCTTTCTTAAATTCACACAAACAAACATCTAGCTGCATGACGGGGAAGTTTTAGGTCCTGAAATCACTGGAGCTCCTTTGGGTTTTAATTCAACTCAAGTGTTTCCTCATCATGCTGGAGGCATTTGTATGCTTTGATCTAAATGTGCTCCATCTGAGGGCCTGTGCACATGCACGTGAATGCATGTGCATGTGGATGTGAAAGCATTAATGCATACCTCGGATTTGAGCCTCTCGATCTCAGTGTCCTGGTCCTCCAGCTGAGTGCGAAGCTGGTTGGCTGCGATCTTTTCTGTCTCCAAGATCTGGACTAGGTGGATGTACTTTTGCATAAGGATCTCACGCTCGATGATGATGTCAGAGTAACTAACGAGGGAATTGGATACACAGTAGTTGTAAAAACAAGCTGAATGTTTTCAGACACAAGCTTTGTGGGATGATTTATGTTAGTTGCAAATTGGATGGGCTCAATCTGACAGCTTCAGTCTTCAAGGACAAGAAACCTGGACTGAGGTGCTGCATGTTTGCTACATACTTCTATGTTATTAACAGGAGAAAAAAGAGCTCGTCAAAGAGAGGAGGAGATGAAAGAAATAGAGGTTGAGTGGCGAGATCTAATCTGTGATGTAACCAGTGTGGCAATACAGAACAAGTGTGACCTAAATGTGAAGCCCTGCGAGCACAAAGTCTACACACACACACACACACACACACACACACACACACGCACACGCACACGCACACGCACGCACACACACACACGCACACACACACACACACACACACACACACACACACACACACACACACAGATGTGGTCTATGTATCAAACAAAACAAAGTTTAATAAATTCAGGAAAGAAAGTCAGAGAATAAAGAACAACTTGATTTTAAAATAATGTCACTGAATATGTGGATTCAATCAGTGGAGAGGAAGATAATGTTCCTTTTGTACAGAGAGTGACTGTGGCTACTGAAAATGAAACATTAGAGAAGCACTACCTGGCCTGCTGGATGCACTCGACCCAATCGTTGCAGTCCAACTCTTCTTCTGAGCGAAGCTCCAGAGGTTTCTGTCCATCGTGCCCAAAGAGGACCAGGAAGTAGTGCTGCATCACAACAACAAATAAAGTTAAAGCTCAGACTAAAAACGTTTCTCTGCTCCAGTGGTGCTGACATCAGGCTGAAACACAAACACTGATGTCATGTTTTAACATCCCTAAATTCACAGGATGAGTGTTTGGTTACTTTTGCCAGCAAGTTAAAGGTGCAGTGTGTAAGAATAAATGAGACACCATGTGGTCAATTTTTGTTACTGCAATCACACTCACTCCTGTTCTGTGAGTTTTTATAGCTGTTGCCAGTTATGGATCAGCACCAGGAGGTTCTAGATAACAAGCAAAGTTGAGTCATACACAGTAAGTTGATAGGTAGACATTTACATTAGGCGTGTGTCCACTATAAGAACTTCAGGGTAGATTTACAGAAACCTCCCTGCATGCACGTCTCCACCTGACTGGGACAGCCGTACTCGTTTTTCGGACCATTTTCAAGAAACGAAAGTTTCATGTTTCTGAATGAATGTTTGATGTTACAAAATGAGTAGTAAATGTACAAAGTAAAAGTTTGATTTTACAAAATTAAAAATACATGTACAAAATACAATGTTCCTGTTACAAAACAAGAAATACAACTACGAATTGAGAAGTACAAGTTAGAAAACTAAAGTTACAACTTACAAATCCAAAGTTACATGTGTTGAAACATGTTCGAAGTTACAAAACTTGGTACAAGTTATGCTGAATATTGTCCCAATCCTAGCTCCATACTGCCTCTCGTTTTCCAACCACCCAAGCTCCCAGCCCTCGTGTATTGAAACCCCTTCAGTTCTGTGTCTCTTGTCGGTTCATTGTTTCAATGTCCAGCGTGTGTTTAACATTAAAGACTTTACTCGTTCTGGTTTGTCTGCCTGCCTGCCTTCCTCACCCGCATATGGATCCTCGCCTCCGCTTCACTCACCGGCACACGCTGACAGAAAACACAACCTTTGCCAACCTTTTGCACAAAATGACAGACGTTTACATAGAAATGATTGAAAATAGCAGCTGACTAATTTCTGCAGGTTTAAAATAATATTGAATAAATCATTTTTTTAAACAATTTACAAACAAACACATGAAAAACTTCAAAAGGCAATGTGTAGTTTTTATTGCTAATCTCTGGAAATATCCATCAAAATGTAGTTGAAAACAAATTAAATGATTCCCAGTTATTGAAGAATATTGGCAGCTTCATAACATATAACTATAAAAATTGGGTATAAAATACATGGGAGTGGGTCAAGTCTCTGGGCGACGCCATATTAGACACCATGTTTCCTTCTAAGGGAGCTCGTGAGGACAAAACACATTTACTGATTTGTAACAAGCGGTTACAACAAAACTTTCAACATTCATAAACGTTGTTGTTTTACACACTTGCGGCCAGTGATGAGAGTCTGATGTGCTTGTCATTTTGCTGGAGGTTAAATGATCTGACAAAGCACTTGTTCGAAAATTGCGTTTCCTGGGATTTTTGACCCTAATGGCTATCCGTTGGTAAGATCTTACTGTCAGAACCCAAGCCCCCGGACCGGCCTCTCCCAGCTAACCAGCCTCCATCTTGGACCACATTTCCCAGCATGCTCCTCGTGGGAACACCCGGCATTCTCTCAGTCACACCCAAGCCTAGACGCCGCACCGGCTCTTCACTCAGTCATCGTTTCATTGAAACCCATGATCAGAGTTCTCTACCAAATAATCCAGACATCAAACATCCTTACCAAGCTCAACTCCCATACCCAGTCGGCCATCGTGACACTTACTGGAACACAAAAATACCATTTGCTTACAATGATTTAGGTATGTACTTCCACCAGTACTATGGACCATGTACTATCACCAGGAAAAATACACATTGTCACTTTAAAACACCTTTAGCACCTTTATCTTTTGAGTGTGGTGCAAAAAACTAACTAAGCTGCACAAGTCCGACGGTGACTGGTGAAGAAATCATTATTAGATTATTTTTGCTTTAAACAATTCTGAAATTGTATAATCTAAAACTAAATATTACAGTTGAACAATTAAAAGGTCTTTTCAAAATGAAAGTAAGATTCTGCAGGTTGCTGATGTTTCTGCAGAGACAGCAGGACTGTAGTAATGATGTAACGATAAGCAGCAGAAAGATACTTGCTAGCGTGTGCTGGCTACAAACCAGAGAGGCTTAAGGGCTTGTTTGTGTGTTGGAGGGGGGTGGGGGGGTCAGAGAGGGTTTACATAACTATCCAGGCGTGTACAGCTCCTTGCTTTGCTAATGCGGCTTTCCCCGGCCAGAATCCTGCTTTAAGCTGGGGGATGACAATGAGCGAGACGGACACAGACAGGGAGCTTTAAGCTAACTTGGTCTGCAACCAGCATCACTAAAAAAAAGTCAGTTCATCAGTCTGGCATGGACAGACTGATATACAAGAGGTCAGACTTGTATCCAGTGATCAGCTCAGTGTCATAAGGAAAAAAAGCTTCTGCGGGGCGGTGGTGCAGTTTGAACTCTTATTCACTAAATCAGCAAACTAAAGCGGCTGATGAATAAAAACCAGGACATCCTAAAAAGGGCAGGAAATGAAAGCAATGAAGAATCATGAGGTTGTTTTTAACATGCTGGGTTTATCAAGTGTGACATAAACAAAACCTCAATGAACAGCAGTGCTGATTTTTTTTCAGTCTTGAAATGTTAGCATGTTGATATGCAGAGACATCATTATAATGCTGATTGTAAAGTAATGCAAAAAATAATAAGAGCTTATTTTGTCATATTTAGCATTAATCAAAATTTTGATGTTTGAAATAAGTTTGAAAACAGTTGAAGCGCCTGTTTCAGCACTGAGAATTTAGTTGGAGGAGAAAGAGGCTTCCGCTGACAGGATTTGAAGCCCTGTTTCCTGATATTTGGACATCTTGCTTTGGATTGGCTAACTGACTCTGTTTGCTTTGCAATGTTGATGTTTTATCTCCACAAATAACACAAGCCTGGAGGAGTTCTGCAGTGCTATAGCCAGCAACTAGCTTGTACTAGCTGAGACGTTCTCTGCTGTTTCCTGCATGTTAAAACAACAACAGCTTTCCTCGTCATGAGTCAAGATGGGTGAGTCCGTGAATGTTTAGTGACAGCGTGATGTAGATCTGTCAGGATTTTTTTCCTAGAGTTTCATCGTCTATTTTCTATCAGAAGCTAAAGCAGCAGCTAGGTGTAGGAGACTATTATCGTGTTCAGCCCGCATGAAAAACTCAGGGTGACTGATTATCAGAGGTGTGGACTCGAGTCACATGACTTGGACTCGAGTCGTTATTTAATAATGACTTGACTTGATAAAATCTATAAAGACTGATAACATGACTCAGACTTGAACACCAATGACTTGCGACTTGAATCGACTTGCATCTGTTGACTTGATGACTTGAGCACATTTGATATTTTAGCACAAAAGTGGCACAACATGGACAAAAATCATAAATCATTCTTCGTTCTGGGTCTGATCTTGTACTGCTGAATGCAGCAGCACTTTGTTTATAACCAGTTTCAGTTGCACTTTCTGCTTGTTTCAGCAAATAAATGAAGCTTTAAGAAGCTTTATTTCTGGAATTTATTTATTATCATTGTCATTAAATTGAAGTAGGACAGATGACTTGATTATGACTTGAAAATTCAAAGTTAAGGACTTGGACTTGACTTGGACTTCCACATCATTGACATTGGACTTGACTTGGACTTGATTGTCTTTGACTTGGACTTGACTCGAGACTTGACTGGAAAGACTTGTGACTTATTTGTGACTTGCAAAGCAGTGACTTGGTCACACCTCTGCTGATTATAATCAGAAATAATATTTTTAAAATGGCTTAGTCACCTTTAATAAAAGGAATAGGAAAAATTAAATAATGAACAAACTTAAGATGGAACTAGTTTAACATCTCTTTCATGTAATGATGTTTCAAGCCCACGCATGAAGCTTGTGTATCACATTTATTCTTGACTGCATAATAGAATAAATGGTTCTCACATACAGGTTTATTAACCTTAACTTACTTTTACAAGACCACTGATTGACCAGTCTCATGTACACAAACACACACAAATCTGATTAACCTATATACTAATTAGAGATCGTATAAACACACTGACTGTAGATTACAGTCAATACTGTGTACATTAAAGGATTTACAATTGAAGGGACGGCAGGTCACCAATCACCTGTTGGGAGGGAAGCCAGCCTTCTACCTGAGCTCTGGCTGCCTGGTTAATATTATATACCATTAGGATACCAGACAACACAGAAAAGTTTATTCAACGTGAAGCAAAGTCAGGCTAAGTACTCTGAGGGACAAAGAGACCACCACAGGGCAAGGTATTCACTGAAGCATCACAATCAGCACAAAGGGCAAGTGAGGTGTCAGCATGATTAATTATTTTCTCTTAGCTGTCAGCCTTTAGATCGGTGATGGTTTAAAGCAGAGAGGAAGAGAAATGGGGATAGTCTGGGGTTCAGCTCACACTGCAGTCAGAGGACAGATCAAATCAGAGAAAAAGGTGACAGCTCCAAACAGGACAGCAGTGTTCAGCTGTTTGTCTGTGAGGTTGTGGTGCTGTGGTATTCAGACACAAACTGCAGGCAAAAGGGCCAGCGAGATGCTATTCTTAGTCAAGCACAGCAGCATCCCAGAGCAGCACGACACAGACACTAAAACACACACAGCACTGCAGGTTCAAAGCAAACACAGACTCAAAGGTTAACATTTGAATGTGGGTTTGCATACGACTGCCTCAGTGTTGCATAAATCTCTAAACTCTGTTCATGTCTTTGTGTCGCATCCTTCAAACTTTCTGTTAGAGATACAACGCACAAGCCACTTCAGCCAACAACCCTCATCACCATGGTAACATCAGTCAGGTGGCGCACAGGTGAGTAGCCATTAGTGGGCGACAACATGAGGTTAAATCTACAAAGAGAATGGAGAAGAGAATGTATTCATGATTTAGATTATTCTGTCTGTTTTAGTCCAGAACCAGAGCA